ACTCATGGCCCTACTCTTTCTTCTGATGGTTACTAAACACAAACACACTCTAACTAACCCCAAGCTGGGCACAACATAACTCAATGACCACAAACACACACTTTAACTGAAGAACAATAACATGACAACATTAAATAATAAGGTAAACAGTCTGTTTAGTGGGTGGTGGGGGGATGGGGCTACAGCACAGACTTTGCATACCACACCCCAAAAGTCCCTCTTTCTCTGAACAGATTATTTTATAAAAATTGTGTTCATTGTTGTTAAACTCAATGTTAGATCAATATATATCAGTGTACATTCTATATATGTATATGAATATTCATTTCATATGTACCAGTGTTCATTGTATATACATATATATCAATGTTCATTGAATGTTTCCTGTTTGGTTTGCCATAAACCTCCCTCCTTCCATCCTCACTATATTCTACAAGGGAACTGCACCACCTTGGACCTCAGGACCTACAGCCGATCGTAGTGCAGCTGTTGTGTGTTGCACCATGGGGACTGAAGAATGACATTTCATTACACTCTATAAAAGTTATATTGAGAAATGACAATTAAGACCACTTCATGTATCAGCTGCTTTCCCGCTTGCAAGAGAGGAAAGGAAACTCACTGACTTGCACTAAAGTGACTAGTGTGACCACAATTACCTGATTTAAATGGGAACTCCACAAGATTCCGAATGAATCAATGCCTGACATGTAAACAAAGTTTTCCAGAGTGGTTTGATGTCAAATGATGTATTGTGGAGAAATGTACAGATTTCTTTACAGTGATGGTGATAGGAACTATTTGATTCAAAACAATGGGATCTAACTGCTCACATTGTTGCCATGAGAGACAAGGATATAGTCTCACTTCCTGCTCTAAAAGTTTTTTTTTTAATTAAACTCATGATAAATCTAAGTCTTTCAACTTCTTTTTAATTTATTTTAAAGTGATCTTTTACAAAACAACATGAAGAAATAAAAATTTAAACATTATTTTCATAAGTTGAAATTTAGGGGTTAGGGTTTGGGACAGTCACCTCCCAGTAAATGATATTTTTTGTATATATTTAGCTCATAACTATCTCAATGAATGGTTTGGGTTTAAATATATCATAACATAGTCCTTGTAAAAATCTAAGGTCTTGCTTTTTTTTAATGGTAATTTTACTGTGGGACCGCAGTTTGGGCTAATGCAGTAGAATGGTCCATACAATAATAATAATAATAATAATAATAATAATAATAATAATAATACCTTTATTTATAGAGTACTTTTCATACCAGTGGCCACTCAAAGTGCTTTACAGACATGTTTTACATTAGTAGACAAGACAATGACAGATCCAGTTAAAAAGAAATACCAAAGAGACATAGAACTTTAACTGAACACTAAGTTAAAGAGATACGTTTTCAAATATTTCTTAAACATGTGAACAGAGCTTGACTGTCTAATAGAAGCTTGAATTGAGTTCCATACTTTAGAAGCATAATGACTGAATGAGGCCTCTCCACATTTTCTGTATTTTACAGAAGGTGTTTGCTGAAGGCAAGTATCTAAGATCTAAGATCACATGTTTGAACATAAACAGACAGACGCTCTGTGATGTAAGCCGGTGCTTTAAGGTCATTTCGAGCCTTAACAATTAGCAGCAGAATTTTAAAATCTATCCTGAAAGATACAGGCAGCCAGTGCAGCTCTTTTAAAATGGGAGTGATATGATCTCTCTTTTTATGTTTTTGTTAGGATCAGTGGATTTTGTACGAATTGTAAGGGATGTATTGTTTTCTTAGGAAGTCCAGTAAGAAGAGCATTACAGTAATCAACTCTGCTTGTAATAACAAGTTCCTCTACATCGCTCTGAGATAGAAAAGGCAGAACTTCAGCAATGTTTCTCAAATGATAAAAAGCTACTTGTGTAACTGAGTTTACAATCAGGTGAAAACAGAGCTCAGAATCTAACATTACACCCAGGTTCTGTGCTTCAGGTTTGGTATACAAAGCTAAAGAACTGAGCTTCTAATTAAGCAGCTTCCTCTGAGTTTTAGTATCAAAATCCGTATTTCAGTTTTTTCATTATTAAGTTGCAAGCTTTTTGCGACATCCTCTGAGAAATATCTGACACACAGCTGGTTAGTCTGTCTATACAGTCTTGATCATATAATTGTGTCATCAGCATAGCTATGAAATTTACATTTTGTAATGACATCAACTAGAGTTAATGCATACAAAGGAAAAAGCAAATGCCCTAAAACTGAACCCTGTGGGACCCCACAAAAATATTAAATCTCTTTGATGAATGATTTCCCAGTGAAACCAAGAAATATCTATGCATTAAATATGATTTAAACCGTTCTAACTCTGTACCTGATAGGCCTATCCAAAATTCAAGGTGGTGGATTAAAATCTTGTGATCAATGGTATCAAAAGCTTCACTAAGACCAAGATAGATGGATTTTTGCATCAGCACTCATGACCCTCAACGGTCATTCACAACATGAGCTGCGGTCTCAGTACTATGGTTAGAATGAAAACCTGATTGAAACTTTCTCATATAACTTCTTTGATATGCGATAGGCTTTTTAATTGTTTGAAAGTTCGAAAATTCTTTTTCTAAGACTTAAAAAGGAATTAGATACTGGTCTAAAATTATTTAGTATGAAAGCATCTATGCTATTCGTTTTCAGTAGAGGGTTCAACAGGGCAGTTTTAAAATCCTCTGGAAAAGCACTTGTTGACAGAGAACAATTAACAATAGTTAAGTCACAATCAAAAATCATCATAAGGAGAGAAGTATGAACAGGGTCAAGATCACATCTGGACAAACTTAATTAATTTATAACAGTTGTAAGCTCCTGATGATTGATAACAGAGAAAGATGTCATCGCTGATGTAGGTGGCTTATCAGGAAGGTTATAGGAGTTTGTTTCAGCTGGCTGAGCAATGCTGTGTCTTAACAAGCCTACTTTATTTTGAAAATGAATTGCAAGCTCTTTACAGATTTTAGAAGATAAAGCACTGAAAAAGTACTGATTTGTGACATAATACATTGGACTTAATATAGACGTCCTCGATGGTGGATATCACAGAAGAGAAAAATGCTTCAAGTTCAGGCTCTGAATCAAAGATAACTAAGACAATTCTCTTTTTTTCTGATCGTTTAACCAGTCTGAACTACACGTAAGTCCGAAGTCCGAATACCATTTTTATCTCCACCCTGCATGTGCACAGTTCAACTCTATATTCAACCCTATATGAAGTAGGTCTGCAACACGGATCAAGGAGGTCAAACAACAATGAATCATTGAGACATGATTAAGCAGACTATCCATAAAATGAACTGTTGGAAAGGATTACTAAAGGTTGATCAAAAATCAAGGCTAGAATATTATCTTTGAATGAGAGCATTAAAAAAAAACTATTAAATAGGTACAGCTTCGCTTAATCAGAATATAATAGGTAAATATGAAGCTCTTACAAGTAATTTTCTGGGACATACCTTGATTAGTAACTATATGAAAAGTATAACAGTATTTACTCAGAAGTTAATGGTAAATACATAGTAGTTACTAATAACATTTGGTGCATACCTTGCAATTTCAGTATGTGAGTACAGAGTAGCCAATGTGAGAAATACCAGATATATTTTAGCTTTTAGTGATTGTGTTTCTGTAAATACATGCATATATGACAATGAAGTACAGAGTTAAATAGAGTGAGTACATATTACTTTGTATGTTTACTGGTAAGTTTCCTGTAATATTGTGTTAACATAAAAACTGTAAAAGTGAAACTTTGTACATAGTAATTACACAGTAACAACCCATTTTCTTATCTTCATCATATGCAGAAATTAACCAGACATACTACCAGGTACACATTAGTAAGTCCTCTGTAATATGATGGAAACAGGACTGTAAAAAAGCATAACTTTGTATTACCTAGTATTTAGAATGCAAGACAAACATACATAGAATTCATAATCATATATAATGCTCATAAACATGCATGAAATTATGGATCTGATCTAGGTTAAAGCACGCACAGTGGTACGTGGTGTCAATATTGTAGTGTGAAATATGGATGAATGAAAAAAATGTATGTGTGTTATGCATACAGTCTGGCGATTGACCTGCTGTCCCTGATATGAACCAAGAGTTGAGCGTCTGCAATCTACTTCTGCATTTTTAATTCTTGAACTGTTTGTGTGTGTGTGTGTGTGTGTGTGTGTGTGTGTGTGTGTGTGTGTTTATTCCACTCTGCAAAAACCAGATGTCAATTACCTGTTACATGTGGCCCATTTTTAACTGCATGCTTCTAATGCCCCCAATCTGGCTGACTAAGAACAGAACACCTAATCATTAATTCAAATCAGTCATTCAAAATTACATAGTTGAGCTTCTGCAATCTACTTCTGTATTTTCTATTCTTGAAATGTGTGTGTGTGTGTGTGTGTGTGTGTGTGTGTGTGTGTGTGTGTGTGTGTGTGTGTGTTTGTTTGTTCTACTCTCCAAGAACCAGATGCCTGTTACATGCATCTCATTTTCAACTGAACTCTTCCAGCAAGAAACAACAGCAGAGTAAATACATTTTAAAAACACAAGAACATTCCAGGTGAAAGTCACTAAAATGTTTGATTTGCAGGTATTGCTGCATGAAAAGATCCTTAAATGTGATTAATTTGTTATTGTAATAGACAAAGACTGTCTGATTAAACAAACAGCTTCATATGTTCATATTCTAAAACAATATAAAGCATTCAAGATCTAGTACAGAAACATGTGAACCTCTAACATCCAGGCAAGAGTGTAGTAGAAGTCAGTAATCAGGTTTGGGACATATGAACAAGAAATTGTGTTTAATTAAGAGTTTGTTGTGTTGCTATATTTTGATAGATTTGGTCACATAAAACACGACTTAACGTAAAATGAGAAGTGCTGCTGGATTTTTCCTGCCAAACTGAAAACTCCACTATTCCGGAGGGACATCACATCACCTGGGGAATGATCACCACAGCAAACACAGGGGAACTGGTACTGGTGATTGGTTACTGCTAGTAGCCATGCAATAAACTGTTTTTATTGGGATATTTTTGCCCAGATGTCACTAAAAGCAAGGCCCAGAGCTGTGCACATCACATCAAGAGCTTTTTGCATATGGATCATCCTACCAAATTAGCTCAAAGTCAGAGTTCAAAACCTATTTTGAATTTTAACTAACTTTAAGTGACTCTATAACTTAAATAGATAAACTTAAATAGTTTATTTAATTGAAGAAAATGTGTTTTGCTTGTGACAGTTCTTAAGGTTACACGTTGATTTTGAGGACACACGCTTTCTTTAAAACAATGAGCTCCAAAAAAATGCAAACCAAAAAAAGTATTGCTTTCACAACTAACTAACACTCGCTCAAACCAGTTATGTCAGGTTACATTTGGCTCATAGACAGATATAAATTTCTTCTGGAAGAACTTCCTGCAGGTAACTCTGTACTGAATGGAATGCTCTAAAATGTACAGATTTATGTAACCTGACACACTTCCTCTCTCGTTATTTCACAATTTCTGTCACTACATCCTCTTTCAAAATAGTAGGAGTGCTGAGAATAGGAGGGACATCGTTTAGTGAATGTAGATTATCACAATCAAATGAAATAAAATCTTCCTGGCAGATTTTATTTTTTAACAAGAACTGATGAGCTATTGCTGTTAAGTGATTTCAAGATGGCAAATTTGTAATTGCTGGGATCTATGCATTTGCATGCCAAAGTGTGATGCTGGGACATTCTTTTTGACCTTTGTGTGCTGTCTTCTGATATGCTGCTTTAAATTGTGCTTATGTAGATCAAGATTGCATATTGAGTGAGATATCTCAGTACTGGGCTGTGTTGGGCAAATCTGTGCAGGTAAAGGCTGAGCTGCTGTTGTCTGGGGCTGTGTTGGGCATATCTGTGCATGTGGAGGCTGAGCTGCTGCTCTTTGGGGCTGCACTAGGCAAATCTGTGCAGGTGGAGGCTGAGCTGCTGTTGTCTGGGCCTGTGTTGGGCAAATCTGTGCAGGTGGAGGCTGAGCTGCTGTATGAACTGGTATGAATTGGTATGAACCGAATGCCACGTGTTTATAGGCTTGTAACTTCACGTTCCCCTGGAGAGAGGAGACACACACGGGAGTTTGACGCTTGCTCTGGCCAAATGCTACTGCTATACAAAGACATATTCGGAGAGTACTTGGATAGCATGATTAGATGAAATGCCTCTATGAATAAGTGAAATGTATTGGTATGTCATCATATTAAGATCCAAGATAGTGGCGACTTTGTACACTGTGACTACTTTGGGTCCTAAAAATATGATGCTTCTGTTTCTTGTAGGCTATTTTCAAACAATTCCAAGCAAAATGTGCATCAGAAACACTGGTGAACATATCTGTCATCACCAGACCCTGCTTGATATCGGAGTTCAGGGGTAATAACTGATGGACTGTCTTGGATGAACTGCATGTCGCTGCTGGCTGAGAGAAGAAGTGTTGAAAACAGTGTGCCAGAAATTGAAAACATGCTAAATGCTCAGGAATTTGCGCTAGGCTGAAAGTTAACCCTAGCTGACTGGATCTACCATCTCTTCTCCTCTCCAACGTCCACTCTCTTGGCAGTAAACTGGCCTGCTGTGTTTTTCTTTTTATAGAAACATGACTCAGTGACACCGTTTCAGATGGTCCCATTCAGATAGTGAGGCTAACAGTATACCATGCTGACAGGGTAGCAGCATTATCTAATAAGACCTGTGGTGGTGGCTTGTGTGTTTATATTAACTTCAAACGGTGCAGAAACGGTGCTACAGTAGTTTTGAGTTGCTGGTCCAGTTTATGATGGTAATTATGCCACAGAGTTACCACTGTGTATGTTCCATTCAGTGCAAACACCAGGGAAGTGCTAAACAAACTCTATGGGGATGTCAGCAACTTGAAGTCTGTGCACCCTGATGCAATGTTGGGGATTTTAATCATGCAAATCTGATGTCACTGCTGCCTAAATTCTACCGTCACATTGATTTTGCGACCCACATCGGCTGCTCGGACCCCATCTCTCTTATGCTAATTCCAGCTTACACACCTCTGCTCAAGCATGCCAAGATTACAGGTTATGAAACAGACACAAATCTAGTCTGAGGGGGCCATCTTAGCACTTTACGATGTTTTTGAGCAGACGGATTACAACATGTTACAGCATCCATGACTGAAAACATGACTTCCTTCAAGGACGAGGACAGCAAACCTCCCCCCATCTATCCTCACTATTCTACAGGGGGACAATAGAAACCATCCTGACCAGTTGTCTTGTATGGGAAGTTGAGAAAATGAAATCAAGGACAAAATTCACCTCACTGTAACATTTCCTTTTCTCTTAAACACGCCCACAAACACTCTTGCTATAAATTCACAAGCACTTTGAAGCCCTCATTTCTTTAAGTTTGTTTATAATCTCCAGCATCTACAAGTGAAGGTATGTAATTTTTATTACACTGTTTTACGCCAGCAGCAGCAGTCATATGAGACATTAGCCATTACTTACAGTAATTACAGAAAAATAAAAAAAGAACATCTTGAACTGTTTTGACGTTCATCGTATAATGTTTATTGTGTTGCGTTGTAATTATTAGAATAACTATGTATGTAATATTGTTCATAAACAAAAATGCAGGTGCTCATGTAAATAAAAGCATGAAACAATTCAAATAAAACAATATATGGCTAAAAATAACAATATGGAACATGTCTGTTTTAAAAAAAAGCTTTAATAAATTGATAAAACAATAATTACACATATACTTAATAGAATTAAATATATGTAAAATGGTGTATAACTGATGCATAATCATAGGTGGCGTATTTTTAGACACGAGTTTCACATTTGAATAAAAACATGTAGTATTTGCACAATTCACATATTAAAAATATGTTTTTGTAACCAGTGGGCATTGAGACCACTAGCACCAATTAACAAGGAAGCTGGGTTGAGGATTTTATTCTGATAATGGAAATAAAACAGCTGTTTAGTATTGCTTAGTGAGTCTGCTTCTTCTCTCCTCTCCTCACTCCCTCATATGAGACAATAGTGAAAATGGCACAAAGCTTATAGCAAAGATAACAATATAACAACAGCTGATTAATGATGATGATGTGGCTTTGTATACAGACAAGATGGGCACACACAGTATAACCGTTAGTATAACCGTAGTGCTTATTTCAGACTTTAATAACTTTATACATTAAATTATGTGATAACAGAAATAATACAGCCTGCTTCTTCTCTCCTCTCCTCACCTCATACAAAAAGAATAAAAAGAATAAGCTTAGCTGACTAGTACACTGCAAGTAACATGTTGTGTGATGTTAGCAATATGTGCATGAATATAATTCACTCTAAAATTGACCATCAGCAAAATATGATAAAGCACAGTTGCTTATACTGAACCCAGGAATGAACCCATGCACTGAAACTGTAGGATTATTAAAGATTAAACATAATCTGACCTACCTCCTGACACCTACCTCCTCATATGAGACAAAAATCAGAAGGGAGGAGGTGGAGGAAGGGGAGGAGATTTAAGAAAGGAAAAAGGGGAAAAGCGTGTTCAAACATAAACTGCTCAGCACCAATACAGGCTATATTGTAGAGAAGAATTTTGAATTTTGAATCGATTTTACTTCTGTTACATTATCACAGGTGAATTTTTTGTGACTTTTCTGTAATGACAATCTTTTTGTTTTTCATCATTGTTAAATGTTGAACAAAGAAAACTCTGTACTTGTTCTGATATGAAATATAGCCTGAAATGAACAAAGGGACTGCTTCATTACAATAATAATAATAATAATAATAATAATAATAAGAAGAAGAAGAAGAAGAAGAAGAAGAAGAAGAAGAAACAGTTTAACAATCATAAAATAAATTCCAAAAGAAGTAGGCAGGCATGCTAAAATATGTTCTTGCCAACTTTTCCAACCTGCTTAAAACCTTTTCTCTCTTTGTTTCATTGCCAATAACTTGAATCCTTTTATTATTTTATTTTATCTAGTCCAGTTAATACCACTGCTTTGAGAAGTTGTGATTTTATTTAAAATACTGCAATCATCTGCCTCTGCAGATCATTTTGAGTTATTTAAAGCTGATCCCATGATCTCTGAAGCTTCTCGTATTTGCTCTTCTCACTCCATTTTTTCAGAGATGGCCGGGATCAGAAGCTCCGAAAGGTATTTTTGCTGATTTTGTTTAAATGAGCCCCTCCAATGACAAATCATTTATTAACCATTCCACCTTTTAGTTGGGATTATTTTCTTTTCTTTTGCTTTATTTTACATACATGGCATCAAACAATGTCATATCATGCTTATATGATTTTAGAAAAAAAAAATGTTACATGTACTGTTTTTCATTGTAAGGGCTTAATTATTTTTGAGAATATCATTTGACTTTTGAAGACAAACTGTAATTAGTTGCCCTAGTGAAAGACAAGAGCCTCAGCACATACAGTTATTGTTGATGAATTAAAGGTTTACCTGTTAAAGCCACTCCTGTGTAATGTGTGTAGCTGTGAGGTGAGAATTGGTCACTCTCTGAGTGAAGCTGAGAGGCAGCATTTGGCCAGAAGGAGAGAGACTGTTCTACAGTGTCTGAAGCAGCTTGGAATATCCTGCAGTGAGGTAAATCATATTCTTTAATATTTAACCCTTAGTTTGTTGTTGCTCTGTGCTACACTGCACTATGCTACATTACACTGTGTTATACTATTAAACTTAAGCTGCATTAGTATGTTCAAAATCTAGCAGCAGTATATATATATATATATATATATATATATATATATATATATTACTCAAACACTGGACCTATCTATACTAACATTAACACTAGTTTTATGGTCTGCTGAGCCTGTACAGCACTCTAGATGGTTACCCATTCTACATTGGTGATGCAATAAATGCACAGCTGTTGTTTGTTTCAAGTGTAGATATGTGTTTCAATAATGGCAGGATGAGATGCCTAACATCGCAGTGCTGGGCTCTGGTGGAGGTTTGAGAGCTATGGTTGGACTGCTGGGGTCACTGAGTCAGTTGAAAGAAGATGGACTGCTGGACTGCATCATGTACCTGAGTGGAGTTTCAGGATCTACCTGGTACTGATACAGAACAGATATTTCAGTTACGTATTTAGGTCCATACATTTGTACTAAATATGTTTATAAGCAGAAATATCTAGGCTTTATGATGTGGTATACGGCCTTTATGTTAAACCTCATGGTGGGAGTTTATGGAAGGTAATTATTGAAAGGTTAGAAAGCAGAAACTTGGGATGTGCATTCTGACAAATTTTGATATTCGGATGTTTGTGAGAGGTAATGATATTTTTATAATAAGAGTTTGATACAGTCCATACAGACCATTTATGAAAACTAAGCTGTGAAAGCAGCCCATTTTGAATTCACTACTTTTTGTACCATGAAAACCAATTCATTTACAGGCATTCACCTATTCAGTTTACAGTAGTTTAGCTCCATCTATTCACACTGAAGTTAAAAGGAGTGTTTTAACCCTGGTTGCTTTTTGAACAAGGCAAAACACAGGACAGCCAATCAAAAGCTTTACGTATATCAGTCTTTGCGGCACAGTAACAAAAGCTTGTTTAATTCTAAGGAATAAAGAGAGGTTGCAAAATTGTCATGCAAATAAGAAATATAGCTGTTTTTGGTACATAAAATCACACAAGTGTAATAAGTGGACCATATGGGAAAACATATACACGAAAATGAAAGAAGGATGGAAAACATAAATTAAGGAAACATTTACACTTTTTTGTAACGTCTTGGTCTCCTGCTCAGCTGCCCCCAGCCACCAGAGGGAGACACAGAGTAGAACCTGGCTGATTATGGCTGACGATGATCAGCTGTGCTCACTCATTTTTAGGAGAGCTCACACACAGCTCTGAGCTCAGTCCTGAGTTCATGCTGCCGTGTGCATGTGTCTCTTGCCAAGCCAGTAACCTTTGGTATTGTGCTCTCAAGATAAGGGTCTTGGTCCTGTTGAGTAAAACCCTCAGTGTAAGTTTACAAAAAAAGAAATCAACTCTCCTGCGAGCCTTTCTTAAGCAATGATGTGGTAACCCAGTGGTAACTCACCCGCTTCTGTATCTTGAGGTTGCTAGTTCGAGTCTACTAGTTGCAACCATATTTCTCTTTTTTCCTCTGCTGCTCCACCCATGAGTCTTTCTCTGTGCCTTGTAGGTGGCTTGTCCCGGTTTGATCCTCACGTGGGGACTAATTCGCCACCTCATTAGAGGTTTAAAACAAGAAGTAGACCATTTTTAAGTATCCATAATGATTATATTTTTTATTATGCAACTAATTCAATGCTTTCAAAATAACAATTGAGAATTTGAATGTTACTAAGTAAATGATTATAAATTTAAATTGTACCATTCATTAAACTGTACGATACTGAATGTCTTTTCATTAGGGTGTTTCTATATAGTGTTACCACTTAATCTGAAACACAAGCAAAACTGTCACACTTGATAGGCATGTTAAGGCAGCATTTTACTGAATTAACTGCAAAGAACACGCAGTGATGATTACAGTATTTCAATAATGGCACCTGGATCTGTTAACTGAGTAAAAAACCTGTCTTGTCCATCTGTTCTCTGAAGGTGCATGGCATCATTATATAAAGAACCAGACTGGTCCACCAAACTGGAGACTGTGAAAGATAATATTGTCCAAAGGCTTGCTGATGGCAGCGTCAATTGGATAGAGATGCATACAAAACTGACAAAATACTGTTCAGAAAAAGACAACTTCAGCCTGACAGATGTGTGGGCAGCACTGACTGTGTCTAACATGGTGAAAGAGGTAAGAATATTTTTTTCCTAATAAAATGTAAATAACCTATACAAAGAGTAGATATGCACTTATAGCTGTTGTTATATTATAATCTACAGTTGTGCGCAAAAGTTTGGGCACCCCTGGTCAGACATGTTTTGTGACAATAGGTTAACACATCCTCAACAGAGCACTTCTGCACATTTTTAATACATAATTACTAAACTCAGCAAATAAACAGAAATGTGATCAGTGCCATTATGACCAGTTCCTGCAATTCTAAAAAGACCTCTTATGCCAAGTCATAAACATTAACATCCTGTGGTAACATTAATTCATTAAAGAATCCAGAAAAATGTATCCTGTCTAAACAAAAATGTACAATGAGTTCCAAATGTCTGATTTCCATTTAAAAGAAGAAATAAAAAACAGAAAGTTTTAGAATTGAAAACATTTAAAAACAAATAAAGTTTAAAATATTCAAATTTAAGCTAATCTGTGACACTGTCTTTGTTTTTGAATCTTCTGTCTACTGTTGATGCTCGTGTTCAGACAGTTGTCAGGTGGATTTATTCTACTCATCAGAAGCTTTTGCAAAAACTAGTGGAGTCTGTTCAGCTCGAGCGCATGCTGTCATTACCGCAAAAGCAGGGTGTACCAAATACTAATAAATTAATGTTATGAAATTGTAATTTGTAATGAAAAATGTTGTATTAAAGTAGAAACAGAATACAGAAGCATTTTCAGTAGTGGTCTCAGATTTCTGGACCCCACTGTAGGAGTCTGTATTTTCTGCATTTTTCACAGATAGATGAACACAAACTCACAGAGCAGAGGGGCAACTACACCAATGACCCGTATCCCATTTACACTGTGATTGACAAGCAGTGTAAATATGATAGAGTGGATGCAGGTAATTTGTTGTGAGTGTGTGCGTGTATGTGTTTTAGCGTCTCTGTGTGTATGCATGGTGAAAGGGAAAACTTTACTTGAAGAGCATCTATATAACACATGAATAATCTTAGATAAACACTTCATAACATGTTCATAAATGTTTAAATCAACATTTATAAAGCATACATATGTTACATGATATTAATAAGGACTACTATGTCATTTTACAGAGAGACCTTTTTAAAATAAAATTCCTCGCTTTTTTTGTTTTAAAAACTGTTATTTACAGTGAAATGCTTCATTTCTGGACAGCCCAAATAAAAATGACCTCCCTTTACCCCTGTGGTCATTAAGAGCTTTGACACTTTTCATTTCATTGGCACATTTCGTCTATACTTTCAACTTCTTTTTATGTCTCTCTTCTTAAGCATTTGTATTTTGCACTTCATTATTCTTTCTCATTTTTACTCTGTCTTCTTTAAGATTTTATTGTGCCAAAGGGTTAATTTAACACTCAAAACATTGTTGAGGAAAAATTATTTATCCAATGTTTAATCATCTTGGAGTTAAATGCTAGCACTGTTAGTGACGTTCTTCCTTGCTTATGGCATTGGAGAAGGCACAAGTATAATTGTGCATTGGTTATCCCATTTAATTGACACTCTTTAAGGTTAAATGCTTTACTGTTGTTCCAATGATTCATAAATTCTGTTTTGCCCTTACCTCAAAAGTGATGGAAGTTAACCAGACTGAAATGCATGTTATATGAATATTATGGCCCTGTAAAATTCCTTCAGGCAGTGAGTCCGTCCACCATAACAAGATTTAGTCGAATGGTTGTTCATAGCATAGTTATGAATAAATTACTGTCCATATAGTAAAATGGCGTGCAACAAATACTTAAGAAAAAAAATAAAAAGAAGTCAAAAGTATACATGAAATGTGCCTCAGTGTCAAAGCACTTAATGACCAAACTGATAAAGTGAGGTCATTTTTATTTTGGCCATCCAGAAATGAGGCATTTCACTGAAAATAATATACCTTTTTTTTAAAAATAAAAATTTTATTTTACAAAATGTGTCTTAGTAAAATGACACAGTAGATCATATTGATGTCATGTAAAACATGTATACTTCATAAATGTTGATTTAAACATTCATGAATATGTTTTGAAGTGTTTATGTAAGATGTTATGAATGTGTCATGTAGACACCCTTTAAGTAAAGTGTTACCAATTTTTGTTTACAGATCCTTGGTTTGAAATCACTCCTGATGAGTCAGGTTATTCTCTCTCTGGAGTCTTTGTGGATTCCTCCTGTTGGGGAAGTGAGTTTGAAAATGGGAAGAAGATTAAAGACCAGCCTGAGATTGACATGCTGTACCTACAAGGTAACAAACACTATTTCAACAAACATGTTAAAATACCAAAATGATTCATGTTAACACAGTCACAATAAATGGAAATCACAATAAAAATTCCTTTTATATATTTTAGGGAATCAATTATTATTACTGTTAATTTAATCTACTACTAAAATGTAATTGCATAATAATTCAATTCAATTAATTGTCAATAACACAATATGCAGGCACATATGTAAATGCAAAGAGAGCTGTGGGGCATAAGGGCATACATGACACATACATGGTACAGATAACATGGCAGAAGTACATGCATGGTATAAGTACAGATAAAAACACAAAGTATATATACTTTATATATATATTTATATGTATATTTGTGTGTATGTATGTATATATATATTTTTTTGTATATATATATGCGCTGTGCAAAATGTAAATAAAAACAAAATGCAATGATGTGCAAATCATATCAAATGTTGAAACTGAGAAATTTGATTGTTTATTTGAAAAATATTTGCCGATTTTGAATTTGACGCCAACACCACATTTCAAAAAAGTTGGGACGGGTCAACAAAAGGCTGGTGAAGACCACCAAGACTGCTTGGGCAAAAAGTGCAACAATCCAAGAATAATGTTCCTCAATGTAAAACAGCAAAGAACTTTTGCTTTTCATATACAAGATTTTTTTCCGACAACAGCGAGTGCGTTAGATAGTGTTAAAACCTGAGCACATGAAAGAGAGACTGCTGTCTTACATTGAGTTGAGAAGACAAGTTGAACCTTCTTCGGCAGTGTAGAATGGGTCCATACTCTACATCGTCCGGAGCAGCTTCAAGGCAGCCTCAGTCAGCTACCAGGCTGGCAGTATTTGCAGCAGGCCAAGGAGGAGGAGCGTTTCACCTCCTCAGCGGGGCTGAGTCTGCCTGCGGAGACTGGTGCATGAGTGGGTGAAGCAGTGGGTCGTGTGGGAGCACTGCAGGTGCAGTTCCAAAGTTCCAGGACCAGGCTGGACTTCTCAGACTCAGCTGGATGACGGTTCAGGGTATGCTCAGATCTTGAGGTGGCATGATACGACCTATCAACTAACTTCCTTGGTTTTGCTAAGAGCACTGATAGGTCCTTCTCATGCAAGGGTGATTAGCTATTCACTCCAATTCATCTCCAACTCTGATTGGTGGCACACAGTCTATGAGTTCCAATTACTCTGATTCACCATAACGGAATAAATGAAAGGTAACAGAGGCAAATATATTTCAAATACTATAACACTTTGAGCCAATCTCTCAAAACTCGCAGAACCAAGAAAAACGAAACAGAATAGAACAATTTGTTGTATTCCATTACAGACCGTTTGAACACAATGTACATATATTAAAAGAGGCACACACACCCCTAATATGGTATCTAAGTATTGTCCGTTATGAGTAACTCAATGAAGAAATCGCAAATGAAAGGAAGATATGCATTCAGGTTTGCATACTCATTAGAGCTCTAAACATTCTGTACTTCCTGATAGGTAACTTCCTGATAAAATGTTACAACAATCTTGTTTTTTTGGTATGTCCATTTTTCTAGCAGCAAACAGGATGACTGGCCAACATTTGGAATTGATCTATGTTTTAGAAATTTGATTTTCTGTTACTCAAAGTGTTTTTTTTTTTTATTTGTACAGGCCTGTGTGGTAGTGCCATTGCAGATAAGGAAGCGATCCTCAAAGAGATTTCTAAGAAACTACAGTGCCTAAAGGGGATAAGTATGAACCTCCCTCCATTTAACAATCTTCTCATCCTCTATTCCTCCTTTACTCTGTGTAACTCTTTTAGTTAATGGGTGCTAAGTCAGGTCATGGTGTGCAAGAACATAAACATTTTTTGCAATCATCAACCACAGGACCATAGTCAACCACCCACTAATCATCAGGGTTGGGATGTAATGAAATACATGCTCAGCATTAGGAGTGGGGAAAAAAATTATTCTTAGATGCATCGCAATGCGGACATGAACGATTCTGAATCGATTCACAAACGTCAAAAGTCGATTTTCTAAATTTAAATTGATAACGTAATGTTGACGGAGCGCAAAAGGCGGAACTTGTAAGTGCAGAAGCGCAGCGCCCGGACAGTCTGTGGCGGCACGTAATAAAAACACTACCGGATGAGCGAGAAATCTGACCGGCTCCCTCTGCATTAAAGCCAGGTCAGGTCAGGAGTCACAACTCAAATGATAAGAAGAGCCATTTTGTCCGATCAACAAAAATCAAACCACCTCGGGAGCCACAACATTTAATGTGCAATATGTCTCAGTATGTGTTAGTATATGTCCTAGTATAGGCTAAAAAAATATAAATGAAAACGCAGATTTACTTTGCTCTGCTTTAAGCTTTAGCTTTAGCCGCTTTCCTCCCATCTCCGCCAGAAAACTTTTCCTCAAAAGTTGAATAGTTTCTTGTAAAATGTCTCTCAGCGTTCGACTGTTTTATGAGACTGAAGTCGCTTTTCATTCACCAGCTTCTTGTTCGAATTTTCCCGTTCCACCTTAAATTCTGCCTGAGGCGCCGAATGTAAATGCGGCACTATTTAAGGTGGAACGGGAAAATTAGAAAGAGAAGCAACTTCATCTTCACAACTTTTTTGTGTTTGACAGTCTCTCGGTGCAGATTTAACGTACAAGGAAACCAACTGCGCTGCTTATAAATGTGAAGTCCATTTGTCTCCAAATGTTCATCTGTCTTTCTCTTCATTGCTAGGTGACCTGCAGTCTGCACAGCAGTTCTCAGTCGTTGCGAACCAGGGCTTTCGCGTTATGTTGCACACGTCCCGTCTTAAAGATATTTTACTGACACAGCGACCACTCTCTACCACGAGACCAAAACTGAAGTTATAAAATCACTGAATTAAACGGGTAGAATATCTGTAACATGTGCTGCGTGGACATCCATTGCCACTGGATCTTATTTCACCGTAACAGCGCATTTTATCGCAGATGAATGGCAGCAGCATCTCATATGCTTCAAACAAGAGCAGTTAATGAGAGCCTTCTAGTCCACTTGCCACATCGCTTCCATTTGTTTTATTAATAAAAGCTATTTGACGTAAATGCATTATGGATCATTACAAATACTTAGCTTTAAAAGTACCAAGTCCTCACACAGTAAGAAAATAGAAATCCTGTATAGAAAAAATCGATAATTGTTTTATAATCGCATCGCAGCCTCTGAATCATAATCGAATCGAATTGTGAGGTACCTAGAGATTCCCACCCCTACTCAGCATACAGAATTTAATATCTGCTTTCAGTCCGAGTTTACATCTTGTAAAGGCAGTATTCAGAATACAGTTACCTTTACATTTTTAGGATAATACTTATAGAATACTCACCCTCTCAATTTAAAAGTTGTACACCATCTTTAAAGTAAACACCATCAATGCATGTTTATGAACTGTCTTAAAATTAGCACACAGCATGCAAAAACTTACTCTGAAGAAGAAACTCAAAAAAAGCCTTCTTTATAAATACTGAACTTCCTGCTAAAGCCTGAGTAGACTGATAAACCAAAGTGCTGAACCAGTTATAATCTGAATGTTAGTAAACTCTTTTGAGGGGTTATGGAGCTGAACAATACTCAGTAGTGGACATGTTCTTGAGTGATAAGCTTAGCTTCGGTATTGTATTGTATTGGACTTATGCATGTGCTCCGTGGCAAGTTACATACATACCATTTTTAGTTTTGTTATTGGGATATGGTGACGGTTGGCTGGTTGAAATGGTGTGTATGTTCTACTTGCTATGCAACACTATCATACAAGGTTTTTTTTACTTCTTTATTTATTTTTCTGTGTCAGCGTGCACTAGTGCCAAATGGAGCGTCCCACTCAGGCAGAAAAGGGCTAAAGTTAATTTCTCTCTTTTTTTTTCTTTTTCTCTTAATTTATCACAAACACCAGGTGAGCACAAAGGTCTCCAGGTGCTCTTAACACTTGTGAAACTGAACCTTTCTGTGTTAAGAGAAGAGGATGCAAAAGATCACCTCAAAAACTTAGAGGACCTCCTGAAAGGTTGTACTCACCAACACATCCCATAATCAAGAGAATACATGTCAGTTTAACTACTTCAACATTAAAAAGCTACTGAAAAAAATCTCTTTTTAGATAAATGTGAGGAAATAGAAAGGATGAATCTCTGTCTAGAAAAGCTGCTGACACCAGAAGGGATAATCTCTAAGACAGAGTTGAAGAAATACACCATGCATGTATGCAGTTCTCTCACTGAGAACGGTAAGTAGAACCCTTTTACTGCTGCAATTTTATGCATGTTTTTTTTTTTGCACATTTTGCTATGCTAATCCTGATGGTGTTACATGTTTTAGTTAAGTAGATCATCCTGTCATGTTAGGAAAGGCATTCAGTTACTGTCAGCTTTGTAGTCTTAAACTGGCGTAAATTAATTTCCCAAAATGACTTCATTAAAATGTTCTTAAGAATGTTTGTTAAATAGGGAGTGTTTCCAGAAACTCTTTCTAACCAAAGTACCTCATAAACTCGCTCAATATAACCAAATAGCCATTTAGCCATTTTTTAAATTCATTTTCTGGTTGTTGCTACTCTAAAACTTCATGATGAACAGACATTTTGTACAAGTGCAAGTAAATGAGCATGGTATCAGACCGATTCCCAATACCAGTCTCAGTATTGATGCATCCCTAATCACAATTAGTTTTATTGTTAATTGTAATCATCATTATTATATGATTTTTTATGACATAAAACTTTCCTAGGAAACAAGTAAATAACAAATAAACAAATAACATGCAAATAACACATCACATCACCATCCCACATCTGTCTGTCACGCTAAACTGTACAATAGGTCTTTCTTTGTTCATGTTACACAGCAGTCTGTTCATGATAAAGAGCACAGACAACCCTTACAGGAGAATCTCTAACAGCACTACTGACCACTGCTGTTAGCTAGTAGCTAATAAATATAGGACAGAGCTGCTGTAGTCTGCAGCTATGGGTATATGGTTTACCATAACAGATAACAAAGTGTTATCTACCAAAAGTGCATTAAAATACAGTTGATTTATCAGTAGATTTATTTATCCCATTACACACAGTAGCAGGTTACTAACATAAAATACAATGTATCAGCGAGGCTAAAGCTGAAGTCCTTTAAAACAAAGTACAATAAAATGCTGCAGACCAGGTGAAACTTTCAGATAACAATTATGAAATTAATTAAATTATCAAAGCAAATCTACAGAGAAAGTAGGAATATAGGGCACCCTGTGCACATGACAATGGACCTTTGTCACAGTCACCATGTCTGCACATCTGGCTGTAAACAGTCCTTCTACTATAGTATAATACCATAGGAATAGTACAAATCGAACCCCTGCCTGCACCATTTAATAAAGCAGTAATGGAGGATCGCTTGCTTTCAGCCTCCCTCACAAATCTTTCTTCAGCCTTAGTTAATGGCAGAGCAGTTAGCGTGTCTTGTAACTCCCTACAACATGGACAAAAGGCTAGTTTGACTTGGCTGAAAGGCATCATGCAAAATTAGAAAACATCTGAGCTTTGAATGACCCTATGTGTGTGCTTAACGGTGAGCTCAGGTAACAGTGCATTTACATCACTCCGCTACATCAACATACCACAAGGTATCCCTTTTACTTACAATGGGAAGTGTCGATTCTGCCAGATGTGGCCGCACAGTGCATGATAGGCACAGCATGGTGAGTTTGGGGGGATGCAGTTGAGTGGAACTGCACTTTTTGAAGATGAATCCGGCCACCGCAATGCGTCTACCTAACCAGGAGGCAGGTGGTGTTTACATGATTCTTGTTTGCAGCTCAGGCTGTGAAACATTACAGAGCTCCGGAGGGAATCTTTTTAATTAATTGAATTAATTTCACCCTGTTCTTCAGTGGTCAAGACTCTGACAGGACCACCACAGAGCAGGTATTATTTGAGTGGTGGTTCTATCTCAATACACTCACTGTCCACTCTATTAGACACCCCTACCTTATAAATGTGAAGTCAGAGACAATAGCTCATCTGCTGCTGCACAGTTTGTGTTGGTCATCCTCTAGTCCTTCATCAGTGGTCACAGGATGCTGCCCACAGGACACTGTTGGCTGGAGAGTTTTGGTTGGTGGACTATTCTCAGTCCAGCAGTGACACTGAGGTGTTTAAAAACTCCAGCTGTGTCTGATCTACTCATACCAGCACAACTCACACTAACACACCACCACCACGTCAGTGTCACTGCGATGCTGAGAATGATCCACCACCCAAATAATACTGTTCTGTGGTGATCCTGACTACTAAAGAACAGGGCAAAAGTGGGCTAACAAAGTATTTAAAAAAAAAATTTCCCACTCAAATTTGCAACCTCTGGCTTTTTGCAGACTTTGTGAGTAATGAATTTGTCTTGTTAGTTATTAATTCATGAGCCAGTTATACTTCAGTTATCACTTTCTGAAAGCGGTCGCTATTTAACAAACATTCTTAAGCACATGTTAATGAAGTAATTTTGGGAAATCAACGCAGAATGAACAGCATACTAGAAAACTGACATGCTGCTTGATTGTTCTGATTTGTTTTTTCAGCTCAGCCTCCTGGAGCACTCGACTCTCCACCTAAAGGTGAAAACGTGTTCATTCTGTTTGCATATTAGGCCATGACTCCTGGTGTTATGATTTATCTTAATTAATCTTAATTTAATCTTAGTTAATCTTACACTTTTTTACATTTCCATTTATTTCCATTCAACTTATTCATTAGTTTTCCTTCAGCTCATGTTCCCCTTTCATTCATGAAGTACCATAACACATGTTCTTAGTGATTGATTTAAAGCGTTAGTTCATGATCTGTTCCCTGTCGCTACTATATTAGTTAATGTTATCATATTATTAAATCAGTTAACCTTAGTTACAGTATTGGTGAATCTGACTTATATTAGTTAACCTTTTTTATTAAAATAGTTTGTCCGTTCATTTTGTAAATGTACCAATTGCTTCTCATGTTTGTTCATTAGTAATGAAGCATAACACATTATTCATTACTGATAATTACTATATTTTTTCATGAATTGTTCCTGCATAGTGTCTACATTACTAAGGAACCATACTGTAAAGTGTTACCCATGTTTCGTACATGATTGTTAATGCAGGGCAATGATCAGTCTTTAAACAGCACGTACTATTAACAGTGCACATCATCAGGATGCAACTGGAAGCTGTGAGTGCACACTAGAGATGTACATTAGAAACACAGGGGTACAGGAAAACTACCGTAATCAAATACTGTAATAGACTGTATTTAGAAATATAATAAAATACTGTAACATACTGTTCTGCATATTTTCAGTAGTGTACTGGTAATGGTACTTTCAGTGATTCACCACAAAAATCTCAGCTGTGGGAAGCTTTTCAATGACTCTACTGGTTGTTTTAGTCTAAAGGTTGAATATATTAGAAATCCAAAACCTTATGTTGTTTTATTTTTATTTATTCTTATTTTGTCAGACATTTATATTTTCGCTAAATCCATACTGAACGTTTTGGGCTGGATATGGGGAACCACTTACAACTACCTCTACAGAATGAAAGGTGGGAAATTAATTCTAATTTAATTTTGAAATAATATATATTTTAACTTCACAGAGATGTATAAGGTCTTTGCTATGACCCTGTAGCTTTTTCTGTTTAATAATGTTGTTTCTGAGAACTTTAGGAAACTTCGCCTTCACTATGATTGCTACTTGTTATGTGAAATCTTCCTAATCAATGTCAATGTCTTTTATAATGACAACAGGTGCAAATTGCATAAATGTTTTCAAAATAGTGGATGAATACTTTTCTTCCTAGCATTTTCCTTTTTTTAAGCATATCTTTGATTATACTTATGAATACGTTCAGCCATACATAAGTGGACATCTGACCATCACACTTACAAGATTCTGAAGTCTGTCTGTGGGAATTTATGCCCATTCAGTCAGAAGAGCATTTGTGAAAGGTGTCCAATAGGGTTGTAGTCAGGGCTCCTGCAGGCTACTGCCATAAAGTTGGAAGCATATAAATGTGGTTATTAATGTGTAAATGTGCCTTAATATTATCTTTCACTGGAACTAAGTGACCGAAGCCAAACCCTGAAAAACAGTCCCAGACCATTATCCCTCCTCCACTAAACTTTACTGTTGGTGGACTTGAAGGACACGGGCGGAAAAATAAAAAAGGGCACCTACTGCCTGACATGGGGCCCCAACAGCGGGCAAAAAATCATGATGCATGTTACGACCTGTCTAGGGGTTCGTAATGATCATAACATAAAAAAGGACAAAAGAGAGCCAGATGATGTTTAAACAGATCAAGTTGTGTTATTTTCTTTTTATGCTGCTCTTTTGTGTACACGACACAGGAGAACGTCAGAGTGGGCATACACCAAAACAACAAACAAAAACCAGCCTAGCTAGAGAGTTCAGAAGACTAACTTACCTAAGGGAAACAAAAACAAGAAACAAAAACACAGTCAGTCTTCCCTAACTCCCTATCTATACCAAAACAGGAGAAAACAGTCAAAAAGAAATGGCACCCATAGAGAGATAACTGGGTAAAGAACAAGAGGTTAAGCTAAGCTATTTCATTGTACATAAGGACAGACAAGCCATAAAACAAACAAGCTGAGCTGCGGTTCAGATCTACAACAATCGCCCCAAGCCGCCATGGAGGAAAGCCTCGATGACATCCAGCGCAGCCGTCGAAGAAACACTCAATTCAATTTCAGCCAGCCAATCAGATGCAAGCATCGTTTCGGGACTCCAGTCAATCACACGCACGAGTGGGCGGGTTCCTAATAAGCAAGAGTATGAGAGAGAGAGAAAGAGAAGCAAGCAAAACAAAACATACGTCCTATGGACGTAACCTACTGCCTGACATGGGGCCCCAACAGTGGGCAAAAAATCATGATGCATCATCAAAGATGCAATAGTCTGCATCCGTGCTTAAGATTAACATCACCAATCCAGATTACACAGTGGACTATAAACCTTTCATTTTTTTATTTCACAAACACTAAAACACTAGGGAAATATTAACATGTTTCACAAAGTACAAAAGTACAGTCAGTACTAATATAGATGTTAAAAGTGTTATGAATGTTAAATGTTCTATGTACACTATACAAAGCACAGCAGCCCAGACACACATAGACAAAATATATGCCAGAGACCTGCCTCCCTACACTTAAACAACATTCTAAAAGTTCTAGATAACTTTCACTCCAGATAGAGCAGCAGTCAAGGACAGAGAAATTGAGAACTATAATAATCAAAATAACTAATGAATAATATAATGAAGCAGTGGGAGATACTGAAAAATATGTATTGTTTGACTGTGTCATCAGTGGAAGGTGTTGACCCCAGTGTCCTTAACTCAAAGACGAGAGATCATGAAGACGCTGGACTGTTACTCAACTCACCTTATTTCTCAGTGCTGAGAAAAGAACGAGACATCGACCTCATCATTTCCCTTGACTTCAGTGCAGGAGATCCCTTTGCGGTACTACATGCACACACACACACACACACACGCACACACACTCTTTACAGTGCATTGAAGGTGTACCTAAAGCAAAAGTAAAGTAAATACTTTTTATTTGATAGTGGCAGTTTGGGGTACTGTACCTGATCTTGCATGGTTGTTAGGAGTCATTTTCTCAGTATATACTAAAATTCCTATAAATAAGTGGGTAGCGCTGTCGCCTCACAGCAAGAAAGGCCTGGGTTCGATTCCTGGCTGGGTGACCAGGGTCCTTTCTGTGTGGAGTTTGCATGTTCTCCCCGTGTCTGCGTGGGTTTCCTCCAGGTTCTCTGGTTTCCTCCCACAGTCCAAAGACATGCAGTCAGGCCAATTAGCATGCTAAATTGCCCCTAGGTGTGAGTGTGTGTGTGAATTTGTATGTCTGTCTGTCTGCCCTGTGATGGACTGGCGACCTGTCCAGGGTTTATCCTGCCTTCCGCCCAATGACTGGAGGGAGTTTTTCCTTGCCACTGTCGCCACTGGCTTGCTCATGGGGGCTTGGACCCGGATTTCTTTTTGTAATGCTGATTTCCTTGTAAAGCTGCTTTGTGACAACACCTGTTGTAAAAAGCGCTATATAAATAAACTTTACTTACCTACTTACTACTGCTGGGATAGGCTCCAGCACCCCGCTGTGACCCAGAAGGGTGAGTGGTTTAGATGGTGTGTGTGTGTGTCTCTTAGTGTCTTTGCCCTTCTTTATGCAAGGGGATTGTTTTCTAATCTCTAATCTAATCTCTTCTCCTCCTTTAAACAATTTATTTGCATATAATGATAACAAAGTCAGTGACACATTTGGAAAACTTTTGTTGAGAGGACACAGTTGTTTTTTTTTTTGGTTAACTCTTTTTTTTGGTTAACTCTTCTTGGATGGCTTATTATTATATAGATATTTGCATCAAATGTTTCACCATAGTGCAAAAACAAATGAATGATCTTGCAAAATTTATAGTATATTTGAAATTCCACTTTATCATCAACCAGTCAACATCTCAGTTTATCAAACAACTACAACTGTGAGGGGGTTGCTAAGCACTACCCCCCACCCCCGAACCACCAACACAATCTCGGACACCCAGCTCCAGTTTTCAATGCTAAATCTAAGAACTTCTCATCACTCTGTTAGGAGAAGTATGCGTTCGTGGAGTCCTGCATTAGGATTGTAAGTGTATGAACACAAGTGCACTTTCTCTGACCGCATTCAGTTTGTGCATCGCACTAGTGAGTTGGTACCCTGTTGCTACGGATACTGGTCCTGCCCCCACTGATCTACAACACAAGTGGACCAGCAGTGACTGACTAGCTAGTGCGAACTCCTTTACTTGCATTCAAAAAGCCTAAAAACCTGCTGTTCCTGGTTCCGAATGTTTTTAATCATTAAACCTCAGCTGTAGTAAGAAACTTTATGGGCACTCAGATTCATCGGTAGGTCGTTTTGTAAAATTGTATGAGAATTGTAGAGTGTGGTATGAGATAGATATATGATAGATAAGATCGCTAACTTGGCAAATTTTGTAAACAAAACACTGACAATGCTAAGAGCTGTTTGGGAGCCGTAAGAGGCGACTCTTATTTGTTAGCTGAGCTAATTGATGTGTATTACTTAAAAGACCCAAAATGCCCATCACTACTTTATTCCCCATCCACCAAAGGTAAAACCACAATGTACATAGTAGTGGGGGAAGAGGTGGGGTTTGGAAACCAGGGGGGAATTTGCATAATTGTGCAATAATCTTGTATGCTATTTGTAGCAGTTTCTTGGGCATAAAATATCACCACCACCACATCAATGACACTCTGTCCTTCATCAGTGGTCACAGGATGCTGTTGAAAGGGTATTTTTGGCTGGTGGGCTATTCTCAGTCCAGCCATGACACTGAAAAGTTTAAAAACTCCAGCAACATTTACACTAATTCAAATGTCAACAACCGTTCAAAGTTATTTTGCCCTGTTTCACAGTAAACAAGCCTTTCATGTGTGTTACCACATTTTACCTGGGTTGACCAGTAAAAACATGTTCTTGTTTTCATATCATTGTATCATAATATATTTACAAGAGTTAATATTAAATAGAGAATTGCCTCTTTTTTGGCAGACGGTGGTTCACGCTGCTAAAAAGTGCAAAGAACTTCAGATTCCTTTTCCTGAAGTTGTTGTACCTGCTGAAGATACAGAGCCACAGGACTTCTATGTGTTTAGAGGATACAGCAAAGCTCCAACTGTGATTCACATGCCTCTTTTCAATGCAGTTAACTGCAAAGGTAACTCCAGCACACTGACTTTAATTATAGTTTACTGTACTGTGTGAATTGTGATGTAACAGAAATGCAGCAGTGCTCTAAGCACTAAATGTCTGTTTCCTCAGGAGAAGTTGAGAAGTGGAAGAAAAGATATCAGACTTTTCAAATGAGCTACAGTCGTGAAATGATCACAGATCTTCTGGGGAAAGCTGGATTAAACATTGAAAACAACAAGGAGAAACTGCTCAAAGAGATTAAAAACATCATTAAAGAGAATAAAACTTCCAGCCATGCATAAAATCTGATTACACCTGAATAAAACATATTAATATTAATACTCCAAATATCTAGATCTGAGTGGTCAGTAAGTTTGGTCACACTTTATTTTGATAGTACTCTATAGATGATCTACAGATACTTATTAACTTTTTGTTAACTTTTTGGCAATGCTCAGTTGCTTATTAACAACTTTAATAATTAGAGTTAAGTGAAGATTTTGTGTTTAAGTTAAAGTTAGGCTTAGGTTTAGAGTTAGACTTCATAGAATATTTCACGCTCAATCTCAAGTTCAGTTATATATACTTGGCTTATATCTGCTTCAGAAAAGTTGTTGATTTTCATAAGCACAGTTATGTGCTTTTATTGTAAGTACTACACAACATTTAACAAAATGCGTAATCAATTTTTATTATAAAGTTATGAATTTGTAAAATTCATATGAAAGGATACTAGGAAGCAATACAAAAATTCATTACTCTTTATTATCATTAACACGTGCAAGAGGCAGAAAATTACTAGATATGAAGAAGATCTACTTTACAACACATAACACAAAAAGATCTACTGATAACATCAATTAAGGGTTCATAATGTGTTATTAAATGGTGATAATCAACTGAAACCAGCCTTCTTGGTTAACGTTGTTCATTATTTGATTCAGACTGTTGGAACGATTGTATTGCTTGTTACTGTTGTTTTGTTTTCCAGTAAACCTGTCCAGTCCTTGCACCATACCCCTGTCTCCTTAGCCTTCACTGTTACTAAAAACCAGAGGGGAACCCTCAGTGCAGAAGGCCTAATGATTTCTTGGAGCTAAAACACACATCTGTAATTTTTAGTTCACTTTTTTATTCAGTAGAATCATCCTTGTGTTTAAACTTTGAAAGTATTACAGTACTCTTGTTTCATTGTTTTAAATGGAAACAAAAGGGTTAAATTCTTAAGATGAAATGCAGATGCATGAGAGATAGAGGTGCATCACCTCGCTCACCAAACAATCGCTTCCATCATTCTGGATTTGTCATGTTGCAAATGATGCAAATAACACTTTGAGTGGCCAGAGCATGCAGACTAAGATACATCTGTAAAAAACTGATTGATTACTTTTCATTTCACCTCTAAACGTGGTTTGGAAAAAATTCAATCTGGATACAATCTGGATGTAGCAAAAACAGATTTGTACGGCCTTTGGAACTCAGCCAGAGTTTTTGTAGTAAAGCTCTGGTGCTTGTGCCTTTGTGCTTGTGTTATTTATTTATTTATTTATTTTAAAAACAGACCTGACCCTCTGACCAAGTGTAAGTTTTACACTGTCCTCTAGTGGAGCAAAGAGTTCAGACATTTTTTTTCTTTTTTCAAATATGTTCAGACATGTCATGATACTTAAACTTTCATGACCTTTCAAATATTCTAAGTCATCCTTAAATATAGCAAATCCACTTTTTTGTAATGCTCAAAAAACTAGCCAGACAGTCTCGGAAAAAGAAAAAAATGAAAGAGTTGACTTTAATCATAATAGGTTTTGCAACAATTTGGTACAAAAACTGGCCAGTTTCAAAACCAACAGAGAGAGAGTACACAGTGCTAACGGAGAGGCAAATGAGTAGTCAAAAACAGGAAAGCATTTACAACGTGTAACAAAAAAGATTTAGTAGTACTCAGTTACCACCAGTTTCAGTTAAAATGTGATAACATGGAACGATATGGTCATAATTAACTGAACTGGGGTTGCAAAATCATTCATTGTTCCATGCAGATTGTTTGGGTTATTGCTTTGTGTTTTTACTGTTGTCTTTTCCAGTAAACATGTTCAGTATTTGCAGCTCACTTCTTTTACCCTTCACTGTTACAAAAAATACATTCACTTTCAAAGGACAGTATACACTTAACTGAATTTTGATAGCTTTATTGGTTTTGGCATGAACCTTATGATTACAACCTTTCTGGGAACTGAACAGGTGGACAAAATCTGTATATCTGTAAATGCTAGGGACACAAAAATGGATGTTTCTGTAGAATGACCCATTTACATTTACATACATATATATATATATATATATAGACCTCACAACAAAGAGCATCTCACTATGCTGCAATAGCTAATAAGCATTATCAATATCATCAATAATATGTGCTGTGCCTTGTTCCAGCTTAAATAAATATTGCATCAAAATGTGAGTCATTTTCTCTCCATCACAGTTTGATTTACAGGAGGTTTACTAAATTAAACATTCATTGTATGACTTAATTACATCAACGCGTGTTCTGTGCACACAGTTCAATCTAGCCAATGTTCAGATCTTAGGGAGCCACATCGCCCATATGATTGTGCCATTGAGCTCATTGAGAACGCCACCCTTCCTAAATCAAGAATTTACCTGCTCACTCAAGAGGAAGAGCAAGCCATGAACACACACATCCAGAAGGCTTTAGATCAAGGTTTTATTAGAGTATCCACCTCTCCAGTTGCGTCAGCCTTCTTTTTTAAGAAGAAAAAAGATGGGCGTCTTCGTCTATGCATAGATTACACAGGTGTAGCAAAACACCAACATCTGGTTGAGCCAAGTCACTCCTGTTACCCACTAAAAGGGTTTGGCTCCACAAAGTCTGAAGTAGAAGCCATTAACAGGATTAAGTTGCCAACAAGTTTTACAGCTTAAACGGACGTTACCTTAGGAGTCTGGACACTATGGGAGGTTAGCAACCCCCCTTTGCTCCAAATGGCATACCAGACAGCTATAAATCCTTGCCCGGAATCCAGCTGCAGGCCTCGCCAAACTTCTAACCAAACTGGTGAATTACAAGGAATTAAGTTTCTAAAGGGTGCACCAATACAGAATTGCTACCATTCAACGGGATACATTTCAAAAAGCCTGGAGACACCAAGAACAAGGTTGTCATGAGAATCTATAACAAAGTTAGCCTTTTTAGATTTTATTGACAATTTAGATGTGGGGCTACAACTCCCCCAAGTGGTGAGAATGAAGCACAACACACCACCACCGTAAGGACATGTGCTTATAAAGAACCCAAGAAACTTCTTACTTTGTCTACTTGATTATCAACATTTATATAATCTGTAAGCAATACTACTTGTTGTATTAATCTTGTTGTTGTGTAGTACCTAAATATTACCTGTATCTTTTTCTACTATTAAGTGCTAGAAATACATAGTGTATAACTTTGATAACAGACAGACCCAACCATTTAATTGCTATGAGTTTAGACCATTGACCAATATGTATCCTGAATGTGGTTTTCTTTTCTTTTCTTCCTTCGTTCCTTTTCTTTTTTTGTCGATTTTATTTATTCATGCATTGGGTCATATTCAGATATTATGGGCAAATATTACCTGTGTTCTTTAACATGTGTTGTGTATCAGGTAACAAGGGTTAAACTCTCTCTTAGAAACATGCCTGAATATCCTCGTTGTTCATTCCTTGATTTTGAAAGTTAAACCAATTTGATGATATAGAAATGTTTCTTTTTCTTTGTTTAAAACTAGCTGAAACAAAGAAGGCAGTGATTCTGGGGAAGGCATTCCTACAATTATGCACAACCAATCAGAGTTGGAAACAATGAGTAGCTAGTTAACCTTAGGTGAGGAGAACCTATCAGCACTCTGGCTCCACCTCCAAAGGGTAGGGCCTCCAGCCGAGCAAAACCAGAGTGCACAGCAAATTTCAGTAGTTCAGATTCCTGCGTTCTCAACAAGAAGATAGCTAAATTTCTAAGTTTGTGCCGGCCTTGGTCAGAAAGACAGGTCAGAAGTATTAGAACGTTAAATTTTCAGATCTGAAACGTTTCTTTGTTTTTGTAACTTGCCTGTTTGTCTACACACCTTAAGTTTAAACCACCCTCAGAGAAGGAAGGTGAATGGCTCTCGTCTGGCTAGGAGAAGTCGTTCATGTTTCCGACTTTGCCAAAGGTAGTTCGTTAGTTAAATTAGTATCACCAGCCTCAGAACCCTGATTGCAATCTAAACCTCACCAGCGGAGTGGGAGCAGTTCTGATGCCACGGAGACCCGGCATCGCACCCCGAGCCACGCACTAATCTGTGAACAGACTGACCATCGAAAGGCTGCCCAAGCTCCACCCTCAGATGGCCATGAGACTCCTCTGCCCAATCACTGACGGAAAGGCATCCACGACCAACGAGGAGATGAACCAACGCGTGAGCTCCATCCTTCAATTGAGTCCGTCCCGAGACAACCCCTCCTGAAGTCAGCCCCCGACTCTAACGTAAGCTGGTTACATCAATTTGCAGTCAGGGCCCTGATGCCAATTTATTTAATAAGAGAACTTAATAGGTACATCCAGCCATATAGTTATTCCCACCCATACTTAGGTTAATTCTCTAGAGGCTCTTTCAAGCAACTTCCCAAAAACCACACTGCCTCATACCAGTTAGCTGTGAATCACTTTACTTGAGCTATTTTGTCCTTTTGACTTTCATTATTATCATTTTTGTTTTGTTTTGTTTTTGTTTTTGTTTTATTTGTTTATCATTGAATGTAGTCCAAACAGGGTTGAACCAAATAACAAAGAAATATGCTTATCCACTTTCCTGGATCCCGGTTGCACTCAAACAGTTATACAGAGCCAGTTTTTTCACTGAACTAGACTGAAGAAGCGCATATGATCCAGTAAGAATCAAGGAAGGAGGCAAATGGAAAACTGCATGTATGAACACTAGAGGGCACTTTGAGTACCTCATAATGCTGTTTGGCCTAGTAAATGCTCCATCTGTTTTCCAGGCATTCATAAATAATGTATTAAGAGACATGATTGGCAAGTACGTAATCAGACGATATTCCCATTTATTCCCCCGATTTTGAGTGTGAAGTGTGGGAGAAGTTTGAATTTCACATACAGTCAGTGCCCTTTTTGGAGTATATAATCAGTTCCTCTGGGGTTATAATAAATGATCACAAGGTGGACACACTGACAAATTGACCCACACCAACTTCAGATGAGGAGGTACAGTGGTTTTTGGGTTTCGCTAACTCTCACCACTCTCCTAAAGGACAGCCCCAAGAAGTTAACTTGGTCACCATCAGTGGAGAGTGCATTCAACATTTTAAAAGGGTTTTTCACTTCCACTCCTGTTCTGAAGGACCTGACCCCTGTAAACCTTTTATAGTCGAGGTGGAAACGTCAGAAACCGGAATTAGAGCTGTTTTGTCACAGCGTCTGGGACAATCCACTAAATTGCACCATATTGTCTTTTATTTGCATAAACTCACACCCACAGAAAGGAACTATGGAAAAGGAGATGTTAGCAGTAACTGTTAGCAGTTAAGCTTGCTTTGGAAGAGTGGAGACATTGGCTTGACGGTGCTAATCATCCTAACCATCCGCTAAAGAATATTGAAATACCAGCCAAAACCCTTCAGAAAAAAAAATGTACATGCCAGAACAGTTCAGAGATAGACAAGTAACCTGGGCTAACTTGTTTTCTCTTTTGGTTCATCCAGGGGAGACTTGTACACAACAACTACTTGCTAATCGTTATTGGTGGGAATGACAATATTCATAGATTTGTAGCATCATGCTCAGTCTGTTCACAGTGCAAAACTCCTAAAGTGTTACCAGCTGGCAAAATTGTCCCTTTAACCATACCTGCTAGACCTTGGTCACACATTGCTTGACTTTGTCACAGATCTACCAGAATCACAGGGTTACACGGTTATGCTCACCGTAATTGATAGATTTTCAGGTAGTGTCTGGTTCAGACAGATCATTTCACACTGCATTCCAAACAGCAGAGGCCTTAGTGAATCAGGTTTTTAGATTGTTTGGTATACCAGAAAACATTCTGTCAGATTGTCGACCACAATTTACTTCTCAAGTTTGGTCCTTTTTGAGCACACTGGAGTTACCATTAGTTTAACGTCAAGGTATCATCCTCAGTCCAATGGACAATGTGAGCGTGTGAACCAGGAACTGGGAAGATTCTGAAGGCTGTATTGCTTCAATAACCCCACAGACTGGTCCAAGTTTCTTATATGGGCAGAAATGGCTCAAAACTTCCTCATCAGCACAGTTACAGACATGTACAGACAGTGTGTTTTAGGTTTTCAACTCCTGTGGCTCCTTGGACTGGCATGACTTCAACATTCTAGCTGTCAAGGACTGGATGTGGAGGGGCAAAAGAGTATAGGAGGAAACTCATCAAAGAATAGAAGCCACCCTGCAAAGAAACAACAAACTGATGGCAGTCAAGGAGAAAATCTGGATTACCAATCAGGGGACCGAGACTGGCTGTCTACCAAAGAATTTTGTTTTTCCGAGGGAAGTAAAAAACTGAAACCTAAGTGTATTGGCCCTTTTTAAATCTTGAAAAGAATCAACAATGCCCCCTCATTATTGTATATCATGTTCGTTTCATGTTCCCCTATTGAAACCTGTCATTCCAGGTCAGCTGGATGAGGCCACACCCGATGTCTCCCCACCCCCTTCGGAGGAGATTAATGGAGCCCCTGTCTATGAGTTGCAAATGTCCTTCTTATTCAGTTTGATTTCAGGGCTAAGGAAAAGATAATGAGATCAGTCTGATTGGCTCAGCCACTGATAGTGGAGAAGGTGGAGAATAAAAACAAAAGTAAATTAAGGTACTGAAAAACAGTGATACCTTCAAAAAGGAAAAGAATTGGTCTTGATTCTTATGTAGTTCCCATTAGTTACAACCTACAATATCACAGTGAACATGCAGCCCATCAGACATGAGAGCAGAGTTTTTTCCCCATTCAGAGAATAAATACTAATGTTACTGTTACACCAATAAAAATACTTTTATTGGTCATGTTTACCACTGTGTTTCACCACCTCTTCTTTTAACAACACTCTGCAAGCATTTGGGAACTGAAGAGACCAATTGCTGTAGCTTTGAAAGTAAAATATTTTCCCATTTTTGCTTAACATAGGATTTCAGCTGCTCAACAGTTTGTATTTTTCATTGTATAATGTGCCAAATGTTTTCAGTGGTGGGACAGGTTTGGACAGCAGACAGGCCAGTTTAGCGCCCAGTCTCTTTTAATACAGAGCCATGATGTTGTGATACATGCAGAATGCACTTTGACACTGTATTGCTGAATTAAGCAAGACTTTCCCTGAAAAAGATGTCATCTAGTTGGCAGCATATGTTGCCAAAACATGTATATATCATTCAGCATTAATGGTGCCTTCAAAGATGTGCACGTCATCCAGGCCATGTGCACTAATGCACCCCTGTACCATCATGAATACTAGCTTTTCAACTGTGCACTGATAACAAGCTGAGTGGTCTATAGGACACAGTGTCCATGATTTCCAAAAAGAAATTCAAATGTTAATTTGTCGGACCACAGAACACTTTTCCACCTCCCCTCAGTCCATTTTAAATGAGCTTGGGCCCAAAGAAGGTGGCAGCATTCCTGCGTCCTGTTTATGCACAGTTTCTTCTTTGTGTTTGAGAGTTTTAACTTGCATTTGTGGATGCAGCAACAAACTGTTTTCACAGACAGTGTTTTTCAGACGTTTTTCTGATTCAATGCAATGATTTCCACTACAGAATCATGTTTGCTTTTAATGCAGTGCCATCTGAGAGCCCAAAAATCACGGCCAGCAAATACTGTTTCTTGGCCTTGTCCCTTGCATACAGAGATTTTCCCAGATTCGCTGAAACTTTTAATCTTATTATGTACCGTAGATGATGTAAAGCAAAAGTTCTTTGCTATTTTATGTTGTGAAATGTTATTCTTGATTGTTCAGTCTTTCACAGAGTGGTCAACCCCTCCTCATCTTTACTTCTGAAAGACTCAGCCTCTCTAGGATCCTTTTTTACCCAATCATGTTATTGTTCTGTTGTCCATTAACCACCTGTTTTTTTTTAAGCATTGCACACCTTTGCTAGACTTTTGTTGCCCCCGTCCCAACTTTTTTGGAACTTGTTGCTGGCATCAAATTCAAAATGAGCATGCGTTTTTCAAAAAACAATAACATTTCTCAGTTTCAACAGTTGATATGTTGTCTTTGAAGCATTTTCAATTAAATATAGGGTTTAAATGATTTGCACATCATTGCATTTTGTTTTTATTTACATTTTTCACAGCGTTCCAACTTTTTTTGAAATGGGGTTGTATGTGGCAGAGATTATCAAGTGCCCTGTGTGGTCATATACTGTGATCGTGTTGATCCGTTTCTTTAGTTTTGATGGCTTTTGCAAAGGAAGTGTTGACCTTATTGATATTACTGCTCAAAAACTTAAGTATTGAACCCCTCACATGGCCATGACCTCATGGCAGCCTCATGGCATACTTCTCTAACCTAAGAAACTCAACCAGTTTGCATTGCAGTCCCTGTAGTTACTGAATAATAAGTCTTAGCCTGGGATTTTAAGGGGTTAAACGTGGCCATGTTGGTTACCTTACACAGGAAATCAGCAAAATTGCAGTGACAAATTTCTTTCATTTTGCTGCTATTGTATTATTGTATAGAAAGTCTTAACCCAGGGCTATTAACAGTGGTTACATCCTGAAATGACTGTTGCATTTTGGGATGCAGTATATCATGAAGGTAGCTTTGAATCTTTGGTGTACTGGAAGAATTTATTTTGGTTATATACTGCATACTACTTACTACTTTTGGGCCCAAGTAGTATGTAATAGATTATTTCAAACATAGCCTTCATCTGATATCAGACATCTGATAGACTTGAGTAAACAAGATAACTTTTTACCATCCCATACCCCTCTGTTGTTTAACTTCCTGCTGGATATCCCCTCTTGTTGCTTACACACACACACACACACACACACACACACACACACACACACGCACACACACGCGCGCACACACACACACACACACACATACTTGTCTAAGCGCATTTCGGGGACTACCAGCCCAATGCTACAATGTGGGGACTCGCATTTCTAAAGGCTTTAGGAGCAAATGAAAGACAGATTCATGTTTCAACTGGCATTTTAAAGACGGCTGTCACTTCAAAATAACGAAAATACGTTAATAAAACAATGTGACATTTTCCTACATTCTGGGGACAATTTCCGGTATTCAAAGCATGTGGGGACCAGCAGATACACACACACAACTTTCTGGTATTTTGTACAATGTAGGTACTTGTGAACAATCTGGGGACAAAATGTTATGAACAGCTGAAATGCACCTATAAGGTATATTTGTAACAAAAGACAACTGATGTAGACACATGAATAACAGGTCTTTTAATTGTTTCTTTTTAAACCAGTTTTTTGCCGTTTGTGATACAGTATTTCTGCACAGATAATTAATGACTGCTTTTTAAATCTAAAGCAATCATAAGCAATACTAAATACTTAAGCTGCCAGTAAAAAAATAATAAGTATTTAAAAAAATGCTCAAAAAGATGTTTTGTCAAGAGAACTTTGGTAAAGACAGTGGTTCAATATAGAACTATGTTTCATGGTAAATGGTTATTCAGACTGTGTTGCATGTGGTTCTATAAAAGAACTTAAAAATGGTTCTGTATAGTACAAAAAGGGTTCTACAAGTGTGTTGATGTCAAGCTTGTAGCAGAACTCTATTTGGTGCTATACAGAACCATTTTAAAATGGTTCATTAATAGAACCATAAACAACACATTCTCCAAACTGAAAAACCATTTCACCATGTGACGAAACATTTAAGCATGCAGATGGCTCTTTGTGTTTTTACTAAAGAACCCTTGAAGAACCATTGTTTTCAAAGATTGACATCAAATAAAATATACAATGAAATAAAACCTTTTTTTTCTGTTGGAACTATCAATGAACGTAAAAAAACAAAGACTGTGCAAACGACATTTGTTCTGGTTTACATTTTCCTTTTAAGTGCAGTGATTCTGTTCTTTACAAAGAACATCTCGGTCTTTCAGTGCAACAGGATCAGCTTTTATACAAGCCTCACTTTCTTTTTTTTCCTGGCACTGTGCAAGTTTTAATGAACCTGTTCAGATGTTTTTCAACTGCTTTCACTTCACCGGTCTCCCACTTCTTTCTCTTAACCATCTTTACACCTGAATAAATGCAGAACATTATTAGTCAAAACATACAATGTCTTTCAATGTCATAAAAGCTTGCCATCATGTTTATTTATCAGACAATACCTTTGGGAACTGATGTGGTTCAGCCAAGGTCTCCTGGGCTTGCTGTGTAGACGGTTCTAAGTCCGGTTCTGCTCCAGGATCTACATAAACCCAAACGAAACACACTCTTTTTGAAAATACTTTAAATAGCTAAGGACATGCCAAAATAATAATACTAATAATACTACTAATAATAATAATAATAATAAAAATAATACTATATAAATGCATTTCCTGATGAAAATGCAGAGTGATTGCTGAGATAAGTCCTAAGTGAATGCTAGAGTGTTGCTATGTCATTGATGTGGTCTTGCTATGTGGTTCTTAAGGTGCTGCTAGATGGTTGCAAACTACCACCTATACTGGGCAGCAGGGATATAGGACAATGTTGAAGGTGGATTATCACACAGGTGACAATGGCAATGACATCAGTTCAACTGTGCAGAAGAAGCCAATGGTAAACCACTTCTGTACTCTACCAAGAAAATCACATGGATAGGAACAACAAAATGTTTGGTATTATCTTGCACTCAACTTATTATTGGGGAAGAGCTGAGGATTCCTCTGAGTACACCTTGCTTGCATGACACAGCTAGGTCAAAGATTTTTGCTTTAGCTGCTGAGCAAGAAAAGAGAATTCAAAGCTACAAGTGGAACTTGGAATGTCTGAAGCAGGAATCATGGCAAGCTGGAAAAGAAATACAGTCTACTAGTCAGGTAATGAACAACAAAGAAGAAATGGAGTGGCTTTTATTGTCAACAAGGATGTCAACAAGACCATTATTGGATGCAATTCTGTGAATGACTGACTGATGTCAATCCAATTTCATGCATAACCATTCAACATTCCATTCATCCAGGTTTACTCCCCAACAACAGATGCTAATGAAGAAGAAATGAAAAGGTTTTATGTTGAAGCTCAGGCTGAAATTGACAGGACCTGCAAATAAGTTATCCTGCTGGTGACTGGAATACCAAATATAAAATAAAGTATGAAATAAAGATCAATCAACAACATCTTACCTGATGTATGCTAGATTATGGTTCCACGGCAAGCAAGTTAGACAAAGCTACATTGTGTCATCATACCTGTTCAACCTGTATGCTGAACATATAATGAGAGACGCAGGTGGAAGATATCAATAACCTTCAATATGCGGATGACACGACATTCACAGCAGAAAATCAGGAAGACCTAAAGGCCCTTATAAGAAAGGTTAAAGAACAGAGTGAAAAGATGGAACTTAAGACCAAGGTTAGGACAATAAGAAAGAGCACTAACTGTATCACTGATGGAGAAGATGTCAAAGAGATGGACAGCTTTTGCCAACTTTAACTGATTAACAACAAAGGATCCAGCAGTCAAACTGGAAAAGATGTTCAAATGCAAAAATCTGTCTCTCCACATAAAGATCACACCTGTCCAGACTGGTCATCTCTGTGGCTCTTTATGAATATGAAAGCTGGTCAGTAAAAAAGGTGGGAAATACTGATGCATTTGAACTGCTGGCAAAGTCTTTTGAGGGAACGTTGGATGCCAAAGGAAACAAAACAATGGGCCCTTGACCAAATCAAGCCTCAACTTTCAAAGTCCAGATAATAAACTGACACTCTCTTTGGGATTTGGGAATATTCTGAGAAGAACCACTGGAAAAGACAATGATGCTTGGAAGAGTTGGGAAGTGGAGCCCAAGCAAGAAGATACAATCCAAGGAACAATGAACGAGGCCATTATAAAGCCTGAAGACCCGAACAGAAGACCAGGATATTCTGGAGAAACACCATCCATATGGTCTCCAGGGGTTGGAAACAATTTGACAGCACTTAACAATAATATAGGGGGCTAATATGTGCTAAGGATCTTACACCAAGCAGTCTCTTTTTTCTTATATCTATTAAACAGGAAAACATTTACTGATTTTTCATCCTGATTTTGAAAGTTACCATATTTTTAAAATGTGGTCAATGTGTTTTAAATGTGTTTCAAAGTGGTTACAGCATAACTGTGCCTCTATATAAAACAACTACTAATGAGTACATTTCCTGGCAAAAACTACACTATGAACACAAAAAACCCACCCAAAACAACACCTTAACACGGTTATTGAAAAGTACAGGCTAAGGGACAGATACTGAACAAATACAACATCTTGCATCATTTCAGCTAGTTGGCCAAAGGCCAAATTTGACCTTTAGAGCAGGGGTATTTAATTAAAATTCAATAAGGTCCAGTTAACGAAAATCAAGCAAAGGTCCAGAACATCATAATGTCTAACTTCCATTATGATTCAGTGCCATGTACTGTTCACTGAAGTAGCCTAGTAGGTATATCAACATCTTATGTAGTCTACAACTGAATGTCGAATCAAGTAAAGTACAATTCAGTAATATTTCAACATTTTATTGTCAGTTTTCTCTTTTTAGATCACGCCATGTGAAGTAATTTCCCTCTGACTCACTTTCTTCTCCAACTGCTTTGTCTTGCCTTGTCCCTCCCCTGTGTGGCTTCACTCCCTCGAGTCTCTGTGCTCATTGTAATGCACAGATCGGATTGGCTGAGTAGCGTCACGTGTGATATTTACAACGCCTGTGATTGGTCTGTGAGTTTTCTGGGCCGCTAAAACGGTACCATAATGACTAGAAATGATACGCCGATTGAAATAGGACCAACCCAATAAAATTAAATAATTATCCAGAATTTATGGGTCCAGTCAGTATGGAACAACGTCTGGGTCTGGACTCGGACCGCAGTCCACCTATTAGTGACCTCTACTTTAGGGTGATTATACAGATCTATGAAAACTGAAAACTGAAATTGTTAAGGTGGCTCTACCAAATGGCTTCAATGCAAGGTACACAGGAGATTTATAATTTTAATTTGTGTTCATTTTTATATAGATCGGTGAGAAAAATTATTTAAATCCACTGAGACTGCAGGAGTGAGTGCTTTCTAATCTTTTGCCAAACCTAGTAAATTACAGTGTACATTGTGGGGACTTAACCTTTACCATGCAAAAAATATAAGAAAATTAGCAGTTTCATACCTCGTTACAGAAAGTAGACTCATGCTGTGAATGCTGGGTGTGACGGTGATCGTCTCCAGAGGTACCATCTGACTCCAGACGATTACTGGCTGCTTCCGTTCCATTTTTTGTCATCTGAAATAGACAAAACATTTACCAATAAGCCCAAAAGTAAAAGCAATGCTGACATACTACAACTAAGCTGAACGCTGTCAAGTTGTAGAAAGTATTTTTAGGCTAAACACACCAACCAAAAAAATATTTCTAGATTAAAATGATAATATTTTAAAGTAGATGCCTTGTGAGGACTTTGTGTAAAACCTTCACTTTTAAAGACAGTGTGGGGACTCAGTGGGGGAAGGGCACCGCTAGTCAATTGAAAATCTTTTGCCAACCGTGGTAGATTACAGTGTACATTGTGGGGACTTGACGTTTACCATGCAAAAAATATAAGAAAATTAGCAGTTTCATACCTCGTTACAGAAAGTAGACTCATGCTGTGAATGCTGGGTGTGACGGTGATCGTCTCCAGAGGTACCATCTGACTCCAGACGATTACTGGCTGCTTCCGTTCCATTTTTTGTCATCTGAAATAGACAAAACAATTACCAATAAGCCCAAAAGTAAAAGCAATGCTGACATACTACAACTAAGCTGAACGCTGTCAAGTTGTAGAAAGTATTTTTAGGCTAAACACACCAACCAAAAAAATATTTCTAGATTAAAATGATAATATTTTAAAGTAGATGCCTTGTGAGGACTTTGTGTAAAACCTTCACTTTTAAAGACAGTGTGGGGACTCAGTGGGGGAAGGGCACCGCTAGTCAATTGAAAATCTTTTGCCAACAGTGGTGGATTACAGTGTACATTGTGGGGACTTGACGTTTACCATGCAAAAAATATAAGAAAATTAGCAGTTTCATACCTCGTTACAGAAAGTAGACTCATGCTGTGAATGCTGGGTGTGATGGTGATCGTCTCCAGAGGTACCATCTGACTCCAGACGATTACTGGCTGCTTCCGTTCCATTTTTTGTCATCTGAAATAGACAAAACAATTACCAATAAGCCCAAAAGTAAAAGCAATGCTGACATACTACAACTAAGCTGAACGCTGTCAAGTTGTAGAAAGTATTTTTAGGCTAAACACACCAACCAAAAAAATATTTCTAGATTAAAATGATAATATTTTAAAGTAGATGCCTTGTGAGGACTTTGTGTAAAACCTTCACTTTTAAAGACAGTGTGGGGACTCAGTGGGGGAAGGGCACCGCTAGTCAATTGAAAATCTTTTGCCAACCGTGGTGGATTACAGTGTACATTGTGGGGACTTGACGTTTACCATACAAAAAATATAAGAAAATTAGCAGTTTCATACCTCGTTACAGAAAGTAGACTCATGCTGTGAATGCTGGGTGTGATGGTGATCGTCTCCAGAGGTACCATCTGACTCCAGACGATTACTGGCTGCTTCCGTTCCATTTTTTGTCATCTCAAATAGACAAAACATTTACCAATAAGCCCAAAAGTAAAAGCAATGCTGACATACTACAACTAAGCTGAACGCTGTCAAGTTGTAGAAAGTATTTTTAGGCTAAACACACCAACCAAAAAATATTTCTAGATTAAAATGATAATATTTTAAAGTAGATGCCTTGTGAGGACTTTGTGTAAAACCTTCACTTATAAAGACAGTGTGGGGACTCAGTGGGGGAAGGGCACCGCTAGTCAACTGAAAATCTTTTGCCAACCGTGGTAGATTACAGTGTACATTGTGGGGACTTGACATTTACCATACAAAAAATATAAGAAAATTAGCAGTTTCATACCTCATTACAGAAAGTAGACTCATGCTGTGAATGCTGGGTGTGACGGTGATCGTCTCCAGAGGTACCATCTGACTCCAGACGATTACTGGCTGCTTCCGTTCCATTTTTTGTCATCTGAAATAGACAAAACAATTACCAATAAGCCCAAAAGTAAAAGCAATGCTGACATACTACAACTAAGCTGAACGCTGTCAAGTTGTAGAAAGTATTTTTAGGCTAAACACACCAACCAAAAAAATATTTCTAGATTAAAATGATAATATTTTAAAGTAGATGCCTTGTGAGGACTTTGTGTAAAACCTTCACTTTTAAAGACAGTGTGGGGACTCAGTGGGGGAAGGGCACCGCTAGTCAATTGAAAATCTTTTGCCAACCGTGGTAGATTACAGTGTACATTGTGGGGACTTGACGTTTACCATACAAAAAATATAAGAAAATTAGCAGTTTCATACCTCATTACAGAAAGTAGACTCATGCTGTGAATGCTGGGTGTGACGGTGATCGTCTCCAGAGGTACCATCTGACTCCAGACGATTACTGGCTGCTTCCGTTCCATTTTTTGTCATCTGAAATAGACAAAACAATTACCAATAAGCCCAAAAGTAAAAGCAATGCTGACATACTACAACTAAGCTGAACGCTGTCAAGTTGTAGAAAGTATTTTTAGGCTAAACACACCAACCAAAAAAATATTTCTAGATTAAAATGATAATATTTTAAAGTAGATGCCTTGTGAGGACTTTGTGTAAAACCTTCACTTTTAAAGACAGTGTGGGGACTCAGTGGGGGAAGGGCACCGCTAGTCAATTGAAAATCTTTTGCCAACAGTGGTGGATTACAGTGTACATTGTGGGGACTTGACGTTTACCATGCAAAAAATATAAGAAAATTAGCAGTTTCATACCTCGTTACAGAAAGTAGACTCATGCTGTGAATGCGGGGTGTGATGGTGATCGTCTCCAGAGGTACCATCTGACTCCAGACGATTACTGGCTGCTTCCATTCCATTTTTTGTCATCTGAAATAGACAAAACAATTACCAATAAGCCCAAAAGTAAAAGCAATGCTGACATACTACAACTAAGCTGAACGCTGTCAAGTTGTAGAAAGTATTTTTAGGCTAAACACACCAACCAAAAAAATATTTCTAGATTAAAATGATAATATTTTAAAGTAGATGCCTTGTGAGGACTTTGTGTAAAACCTTCACTTTTAAAGACAGTGTGGGGACTCAGTGGGGGAAGGGCACCACTAGTCAATTGAAAATCTTTTGCCAACCGTGGTAGATTACAGTGTACATTGTGGGGACTTGACGTTTACCATACAAAAAATATAAGAAAATTAGCAGTTTCATACCTCGTTACAGAAAGTAGACTCATGCTGTGAATGCTGGGTGTGATGGTGATCGTCTCCAGAGGTACCATCTGACTCCAGACGATTACTGGCTGCTTCCGTTCCATTTTTTGTCATCTCAAATAGACAAAACATTTACCAATAAGCCCAAAAGTAAAAGCAATGCTGACATACTACAACTAAGCTGAACGCTGTCAAGTTGTAGAAAGTATTTTTAGGCTAAACACACCAACCAAAAAAATATTTCTAGATTAAAATGATAATATTTTAAAGTAGATGCCTTGTGAGGACTTTGTGTAAAACCTTCACTTATAAAGACAGTGTGGGGACTCAGTGGGGGAAGGGCACCACTAGTCAACTGAAAATCTTTTGCCAACCGTGGTAGATTACAGTGTACATTGTGGGGACTTGACGTTTACCATACAAAAAATATAAGAAAATTAGCAGTTTCATACCTCATTACAGAAAGTAGACTCATGCTGTGAATGCTGGGTGTGACGGTGATCGTCTCCAGAGGTACCATCTGACTCCAGACGATTACTGGCTGCTTCCGTTCCATTTTTTGTCATCTGAAATAGACAAAACAATTACCAATAAGCCCAAAAGTAAAAGCAATGCTGACATACTACAACTAAGCTGAACGCTGTCAAGTTGTAGAAAGTATTTTTAGGCTAAACACACCAACCAAAAAAATATTTCTAGATTAAAATGATAATATTTTAAAGTAGATGCCTTGTGAGGACTTTGTGTAAAACCTTCACTTTTAAAGACAGTGTGGGGACTCAGTGGGGGAAGGGCACCGCTAGTCAATTGAAAATCTTTTGCCAACCGTGGTAGATTACAGTGTACATTGTGGGGACTTGACGTTTACCATACAAAAAATATAAGAAAATTAGCAGTTTCATACCTCATTACAGAAAGTAGACTCATGCTGTGAATGCTGGGTGTGACGGTGATCGTCTCCAGAGGTACCATCTGACTCCAGACGATTACTGGCTGCTTCCGTTCCATTTTTTGTCATCTGAAATAGACAAAACAATTACCAATAAGCCCAAAAGTAAAAGCAATGCTGACATACTACAACTAAGCTGAACGCTGTCAAGTTGTAGAAAGTATTTTTAGGCTAAACACACCAACCAAAAAAATATTTCTAGATTAAAATGATAATATTTTAAAGTAGATGCCTTGTGAGGACTTTGTGTAAAACCTTCACTTTTAAAGACAGTGTGGGGACTCAGTGGGGGAAGGGCACCACTAGTCAATTGAAAATCTTTTGCCAACCGTGGTAGATTACAGTGTACATTGTGGGGACTTGACGTTTACCATGTAAAAATATAAGAAAATAAGCAGTTTCATACCTCGTTACAGAAAGTAGACTCATGCTGTGATGCTGTGCCTCCAGAGGCACCATCTGACTCCAGACGATTACTTCCTGCTTCCATTTCATTTTTTGTCATCTGAAATAGACAAAACAATTACCAATAAACACATTTTGCTAGTTCAAAGCCTGCATTCAATATACTGTAAAATAAGGAGAGATCACAGAACAGAAAACAGGAAAAGAATGCTGATAACACTAGATCACTTCTGTTTTACTCCAAATAACCCCTGCCACACCACAATAAATTTAATAATGAGCTTTCCATGATCCTTGACCCAGCTGAAGAGGAGGTTGCTACAAGTTACAAGGCAAGGGTTGCAAGATTGGAAACACAAAGATGGCACAGGGTGGACACTGAATGCACTTTTACAAAATGTTGCATGGTAGCTTTACAGAATCGAGGTCTAAAGCCAATGGCTCAGCAGCCCAAGAGCAGTAAACAGACAGCAGTGAAAGAGCTTGCTACTGTAGATGCTGGTCCCAAAAAAGGGAATGTAAACAATGGATCTGTAATACTGACGTGACACTGAGTGAAATGGAGCTGTGGAAGAGCAACAGTGACACAGAAAAAGCAAGAAGAAAACTTCAGTGCAGCAGTGTTAAGGAAAGAGCTGGAGGAAATGAGATTAGCATTAGCAGACTCAGAGCACAGTGAAGCTGCAGTGTTACAGCTGATGAGTGGTATGAGTGAGATGAGATGGCATGCAGGAGCATCACAGACACCTTAGAATGGAAGAAACTGGAGTAAAAAAATAGCATTAGTGAAACATGGAGTAAAGCTGGTATACATGATTGCTTGGTACTTTCTCTAAGCGGCAAGATAAGATATTCCTCAGCACCATTAATGAGACACTAGAAAAGAAGTAGCTGGAGTAAATTCAATTAGGATAAGTAACCGTACAATGTAACTGAGGTACAGCATCACATCTGTATCACTGTTGAGTTGTTAGAGAAGAGAGCATTTTACAGCTCTGCTGAGGAGAATCTGAAAAAGACCAATTATAGTATACAAAACGAGAAATATATGACATGAACAGCACAGAGAAGGCATCTTGTAACAGTACTGAGATAACCCTGGTAAAGGAGTAAATGAAGTTAGGTTTAGAAAACGAACAGCAAATGGTGCAGCATCATGAGATGGATGGGTCAGCCGAGCATAGTCTGCATGAGAGAAGCTCAACAGGTTAGCAAATGCACAGTGTGATCAAGGAATAGCATCTCAGAGGTGTCATGGTTGAAGGCGATGAGGTAGATGTGCATAGTCCACATGAAAAAAGCAGAAGGGATTAATACATGCAAAGCAGGTTTATGGAGCAGCAGCGCATAAATTTCATAACTGAGGTATATGAACAGACATGCACTCTCAGCCTGACATGCACCAGCAGCCTATTAATGACGTCAGTGCCGCTCCGCCACAACAGTGTTTTTGTGAGTTTTATGAGTAAAAACAGCGAAACGCGTACTGCTGGGCAGCAGGAGTTACACTGAATATATAATGACGTTGCCATACTGATAATAAGGTAATTAAATATGGAAACTTTCAAAATAAAGCCTACCACAGCAATAAGACATGAATGTCGGGTTTATTCACAGAAAAGACAAACAGGCTGCTGCTGAAACTCATGAAAGCCATGCTGACAATTAGAACCGGTCATCAAAAACTGTAATATTGATTAAAACTTATTAAGGATTCTAGGAGCTAATGACAACGTACAGTCACCATAGTACTGATTACTTTTGCTGTCTCATCAACGTCGTCACAACCTCCTAGAAAGTTGTCAGACAACGTTCATACCTTTCTGAAAAATTACATTACAATGTTATGACAATGTAAAGAGCACCAAGCAGACGACGCTGTGGGCATTGAAACAGTAGGTTGTCAAAGTGTAATTGTGTTTGCAGGGCTGTTAGGAATAAAACCTGACGGTTTGGCTTCCTAACGGGAATTGGCTTGATGGTTGCCGTTAGAGACCATTAGGAAATAATCAAACATATGTGGAATCAGTCCCAGAACACCTGATTAAACGATCGGAATCCTTCACACTGTGATATTAACCCATCAGGAAAACACAGAATACCATTAGCCACTACTGAAAACCACCAGAAACCAACAGACACTTTTAATGCGTTCTATGATTTTTATTCAACAGGGAGGTGCATTAAATGTCACTCTCTAGCCATGTTATGGATGAAAAATGGATTAAGTGATGATATCGCTAAATAACAGCAGCCAAAAGTTAATGTGCCATTGGGCTGTTTCAGCCATTGGCAGAGAGCACATGACGTGATTGGGGCTGAGACTGCATCTGTCTGAGAGCGCATGTCTGCAGCCAGACTCTCCTGATACTGGTTGACTACTTTACACATTGTGCAGACTTAGCATTACCTGTGTGAACATGCTTGAATTTTAGCAGTTTGCTTACCTGGACGCCAAAAGCAGATTTGTGCTGTAAATGCTTGGTGCAATGCTGATCATCTCCAGAGGCACCTTCTGACTCCAGATGATTGTTGTCTGCTTCCATTCCACTTTTTGTCACCTGAAATGGACACAACAGTCATTATTAAACACAAAAATAAGAGGGAAATCCTGTTATGGAAACAGCATGCAACATGTTAGCAGTACCATACTGTAACTGATTGGAATTGTTCTGATCATCTCTAGATAGTCTGCATAAACTCAAATTAACAGTATCCTTTAATTTCAAGCTTCCATTTACATTATGGATATGATATCTTAGAAATATATTCACTATTTGGTATTTAATTATCCACAACTGGTACAAGAAGTAACATTCTTACCTCACTCCTCCAGGGACAATCACCATCTCCATAATTATACGTAATCTCCTCTCCAGGTGTTATGTCTCTTAAAGCAAAAAGGCACAAATGTGGCCTTCCCTCCACAATGATTCTCTTCATTTTACAGTTGGGGTTAATGTGGTCGTCATTAACCAGTCTTCCAAGTGTGCCATCATCCCTTGCAGCATCAATGCTGAATTTGAACAAACAGAAGAGTTATTTAGTGACAAAAAGTAATATTTTAGTTGTATAGTTGTAAAATTTAAAAATGTAATGAAAGCAAACAATACACTATTTTCAGTTATTTCACTTAATAATAGTGTCATTGTCATTTTGCTCATATTAATATATTATCATTGTTAGACTATTCACAGTTTCCTTCTACCTCTTAAGTAACTGTGCTCAATATGCGTCTACAGGCAGGGGTGATTATGCATTTTGAGTTAAGGAACATGACATTTTGTTAAATAGAAATAGTAGTGAACTAAAGAAAGACTACAAAGCACAATATGTACGTCATACATAAACAGATTAGAAAATGTGGAAAACAGAGCTGGATAACGGAAATTATACTAAATTTAAAGATGATGCGAACTAAATCCACGTGTGGCTCAGGATCAGGAGGGTCAAGAGGTCATGATCTTAACCAATAACTTTAGAATTACGACCAGCACCTCGCTGGTTCTGATGCGGTGGCCCTTTAAAATCGCGTCAGGGGAAAGTTGCTATACATTTACCGAAAAAGACAACACGACTGAATAAGGCGCATTATAAAAGCTAGCCAGGTCGCTGTTCTGATAAAAACACACGTCATCATTAGATGTGATTAAAAACGGAGGAGGGGGGGGTCGATCACAGTAAATGGCCAACGCGTCTGTAAACAAAACGACGACGCTGCCAAACACCTCGGCGCTGATCACAGATGAATGTTAGATCTTTAAAGGTTTAAATATGAATGAGTCGCAGTAATAAAGCGTTTATAGCCCATCTAACACCAGCCTCCCGTCCCCATCTCCGCTCAGCGCGGCTCTGAGCGCCGCGGCCGAAACCTCCCCACCTTTAACCCCGCAGGCCGAGAGAGAAGAAGGGAAGAGTTACTCACGTCCAGAGCTTTCCGTGCCAGATGAAGTCGAACAGGAACGCTTTCACGGCGCTGTGATAAACCCGCTGTCTTCTCCGACTCTCCTCCGCACTGATCAGGTCTCCTCTGTACTCCAGCACGAACTCTCCTCTCGCGAAGTTCGTCACGGCAAACACTCCCCTGCCTTAATCAGCAACCACAGACCGCGCTAACACGACCTTCTCTGTGTCGAGGTTCAGTCAAAGCTGATCTACCTGCTCTGCTCACCTTTAAACGAACCAATGTACTTCACATCCAGCCCCGCTCTGTCGCGGCCGGCGGTGATGTGGAAAACAGCGTCGTTTGTCGGGCTCTTCCTCCTCATTACCAAGCTTTCACCCTTAAACACTTCACCAGCTTCTCTACGGAAGACGCGTTAAACATTCATAGGCATCGTAGCGCGAACTGTCTCGATAAACGGGCTGATACAGGGAGGCAGGTTAAAGGCCTTAAATGCCCCGTCAGGGCTGAGCTAACAGGCTAGAACAGCCAGCTAACTAGCGCTAGCTAATTAACGAGAACACGGCACTACTGAAACTAAAATCTTAAATTTACAGCACTATTAAGGTTTATATTCGAGCACAGTTTATTAATTAAACATGTAGTCGCTGAAAACATTCCGTCTGATGGTGAAAGTTCACTCACAGAGCTCTCAGGCGCTGGGCTAGCTCGGCACACGTCACTTCGGACTGTGAAACTGCAGCACTGATCAAGGTGATACCTCATTGGCTCACAGTTCCACTGATTGCTTCCCGTTTCAACCAATCAGAGTTCAGCATTGCTGTACCACGTGATCAAGTGTGCGTCCGCAGTTGTTTTTACAGTCTTTGGCCACAGGGGGCGTGTACACACTTTGAGCAGTTCCCCCTAAGCACTCGCACACTTTTTGTCGAGATTGTGTTCATCTTGGGGACTTCCGAGATTTTAAGGGGGGAGGTTCAGCCCAACGAAATAGACATGCTACAATGGTTAACTTTGTGGGGACTCGATTTTTGGTCCCCACGATGACACACGTCCCCACTTTATTGGTGTGCTTACTGGCTGAAGTCCCCATATTATAAGGTTTACAAACACACACACACACACACACACACACACACACACACATAGGAGAGCACACGTGTGTGAGAGAGAGTATAAAATGAATAGCAGGTGAAAAGTATATATATTTTTAAAGAACAGCTTAACATGAAGTATTGCTGCAAACTTGTAACCGAAATGATAACGGCAAAGCCCTAATCACAACAGGCAACAAACCAGGGCAGTTTTTCCCATGAGTTGTACAACCACAGGGAAAGCATAATGTCTGCAAAATTTAAATTGTAACATGCCACTAAATTGATTGACAAAAATAGCTTTGTAAACTACAACTGCATTATAATCTACATTATTAATGAACATAAACTAATATTGTCCTGTGCTTTTTGTGTTAAAAAGCATCAGCTACCCTCATTAGCTACTGGAGATTCTTGTTTCATCACAGTGTTTTTATATCCCTGTGTTTGCTCTGTCTCTTTGTTTTGCATTGCCTTTGTGAACATTTGTTTCCGTAACTTTAGTTAACAGTCATCCTATAGGTTTTTGGTCTCTGTGTTTGCTTCTACATTTTACTCCTGTTTGGTTTTCTTGGTTCCTCCTTTCATTTCGTCACTATAGATATCTCAGCTACTCAGTTCTTGGGCTGTGTTAAATAAGATGTAAATAAAAGCAATTTGCACTTGCATCCGACCTCATCACCTATGTAACAACTTATTAGCATATGCGGTTTGCCAAGGGAAGAACACCAAATGAAGATTAATGACTTTTTTGTACTCACCATGTCATTACCACAGTTTGGAAACCACTGTTGTAGGGTGATATGGGAGCACTGTTTGTTGCTGTTACCCCCCGTTTTCTTGTTATTCACCAACCAGCTAATGTTTTACCATGGCTAGTTATGGTCAAATGTTGAGTAAAAAACCTACCTCTATAATAAAGCTTATTTCTGCTGACATTCATAAGAGATTCTAGTAGTTTGTTAGTGCTAAAATAATGGAAATATGTTTGGCAGTTTTAAAGTAACCACAGACATTTGAAACTTCTAGAAGACATTCTGAGAGCACGTCTTTAAGAGCTCCCCAGTGGTCCCCAAAGAATCAGCCATTTTTGAGGCTGTCTTCATCAAAATCATTACAGTGCACTAATTTTTTTGTTCTATGAACATTCCCACAACTTCCTGTAAAAACCAGTGAGCATCAAATGTTCACTATAGTCCCTGACTGGAAAAAGCATCATGTCTCCAGCTTGTCTTTCTAAAAGTTTTAAAATGGAAGACAATGGCTGCATGTTATGTCACTTGGATCTTCACCTGGAAAAAAGTATTAAATGTATATTTCTCACACTTGTGAGTAAATAAAGCACTATATGGTATTTGACCTATCATGACTATCACAATTTATAATTCATTATTCATTTTCTACTAACTGAAATGTACATAGAATCCTGTTAGACAACCAGTTGCATTTGCGCCTGAATTAACTTTACTTACATGTTTTAATGTTAATACCACTATAATCAGCTATACTACCGACAAAATAACATGTTATTTTAGCTTAATAACATAACAGAACCTGTATTTTTCACAAACATTGCACTTTATTTATTTCATGAACAAATTTGAATTCAAGTAGCCTGACCTGCTATACGGCAATAGAAAATAGGCTAACTAGGCCCTATCAGAAATATTCAGTTACAGATTTCAAGTTTAAATCTTTACTGAAAGGATCAGATGTGATGTTACTGGAATGTTAACTGAATGTCTATTCAGTCATCAATTGACTATTTTAGCTAGAGGTGCTATGTATTGCTTAGGTCAACTATGTTTTCTCTTGTGCTAGCAATGCTACTAAAAGTTAGCATTGATGTTAGAGGTGTTAATTGCATAAAGAAAGCCTTAACTGCATTAAACATTGCTGTGTGGCTGTACTTGGGTCTCAGTATAAACAAAATTTTTTCATGAAATTGTTCATTTGAAAAGTTCATGAAATGACTATGATGTTCCTCCTGAAAATGACAGTACAGCTGAGCACAGCACAGTGTCACACATAATTGAGTTAGTTAATTTAGATTAACTCCTAGAAATCCTATTGAGTAGGAGAGTTTGCTCAGCTATGATTACCTAGATACCACAGAAAACTAAATAACAGGCAGTTTTTTTTAGTTTATTTTTCAGTAAAATCATTAGGAATTCACTGAAGGCCCCAAATGCCCTGAGGGTTCCCCTCTTATTTTTTTCATAAAACAAGGCTAACAGGAGACAGAGGTAAGGTTCAATGATTGGACAAGTTTACTGAAAAAAATAGCAATAAAAGTAAAATGCATTAATACAAACAATTTGATTATCTTATGGAAAAGTGGATCTTCATATCGAGTAAATTGCTGTGTCTTGCACATATTAATGATAGAGTAATGAAATTTTGCATTTTATCCCATCAATTACTTTTCAAATGAATTCTCAGTTCACATTACTTTATAATAAACACTGATTGTGCATTTGGTAAAGACTTTACTGTTGCTTACTGATTTTTAGTAATGAATTTTAAGCATTGTGTAGTACCTGTTGTAAAAACACAGAAAAGTACATATAAAAATCAAGACCTCTTCTGAAGCGGATATGAGCCAAGCATAAAATTAATGTGACAATTAATTTTAAACATAAGCCAACAAATTCAGTGTACACCTTATACCTTATACACACCTCATACAACATATAACTCACCAATATTGAGCTGTTTTTCAATTTACATCTTTTTGATCTATGCGGACTTATTTCTAGGTGCTTTTAATTGAAATAATTTTTGTTATAAATTAATTATCAATTATCAGTTTTTATGATTACAGTCATTTAATAAGACACCAAATGGACAATCTTGATTGCAAACAAGACGGAAAGACATAATCCATAGTTTAAATTCAAGACTAAAGCTGACATTCTGAACTCCATGAAAATAATTACTGTCATTACACACAAAATGATGATTATTTGTTACATTATTGAAACATCAGAAGAATTTCCATGAACTTTATTTTGATGCTCCACTGTAGATGCTTTGTAGATGCTCAGTCTGTCTTTAATTAAGAGTCAATTAAACATCAGCTTCATGCAGCTGAACTTGAAATTGAATGTGTTGTATATTAAATCTGTCTTTAACCTTAACTTCAACACAAAATCTTCACCTACTCTTTAAGCTAACCTTCACCATGATTGGTTCATCATTGACTGAGCTTTAAGCATGCGTCTGAGTATTTGAGTATTTTTGTGTGATTTTACTGCACTCATCAAATTTAGCCAAGCTTTTTCTCCTTTTTTCCTTTCTTCCCATCGATGACATTTTCAATCTCTTTGAGCAGTTTCTCCTTGTTGTTTTTGATGTTTAAAGCTGCTTTCTCCAGAAGATCTGTGATCATTTCACAACTGTAGCTCATTTGAAAAGTCTGATATCTTTTCTCCCACTTCTCAACTTCTCCTGAGGAAACAGACATTTAGTGCTTAGAGCACTGCTGCATTTCTGTTACTTCACAATTCACACAGTACAGTATATTACCATTACAGTGAAACCAATTATGTTCAAGAATGCTTATTATTAGAATGCTGGAGTTACCTTTGCAGTTAACAGCATTGAAAAGAGGGATGTGGATCACAGTTGGAGCTTTGCCGTATCCTCTAAACACATAGAAGTCCTGTGGTTCTGTATCTTCAGCAGGTACAACAACTTCAGGGAAAGGAATGTGAAGTCCTTTGCACAATTTAGCAGTTTTAACCACCGTCTGCAAAAAAGATGCAATTATCTGTTTACTGTTAACTCCTTTAAATACACCCTGATATAATGGTATTAAAAAAAAAAAATGTCTTTACTGCTTAACTCAAGTAAAATGCATTAAACTAGTGAATGATTGGTTTACTATAAAAGTGAAATGGGCAGCAGTTAATTTTAAGTGTAAAATATTGTTTTTGTGTATTGTGGATCAGACACAGCAAAGTTGTTGGAGTTTTTAAATACCCTAGTGTCACTGCTGGACTGAGAAAAGTCACCACCAACTACAAATGTCCAGCCAACCTTGTCCTGTAGGTGGTATACTGTGACCACTGATGAAGGACTAAAGGATGACTAACGGCAACAGATGAACTATTGTGTCAGACTTTGCATCTGCAAGATTGACCAACAAGGTAGGTGTCCAATAGAGTGGACAGTGAGTGGAGACAGTGTTTAAAATATAAAGCATGCCACCACCATATCAGTGTCCCCATATGGGAAGAAAAAATGTATTCCATATGTATGCAATGTATGAAAATGTATTTGTTAAATATATTAAATATATTTTTAAAATGCATTGATTTGTATTTGAATTTTTTTCCAAGTTCCAAGTTTATTTGTCATGGACATTTGTGCATTGAAATGCTTACGTGAGGCCTAGGTAATCAATCTATCAAAGGCAGTGTTATACATAAACAAAAACAGTGCAAACAAACAAACAAAACAAAATAAAAAAAGGAAAAAAATGAAATACCTGAAATATAATAAATGTACAGAAAATATACACAAAATATACAGAGACAGGACCTATGAAAGAAAACTTTTAATGTAATTTTATCTAAGAAATGTTTTTACAAAGGTTACAGATATAACTAAATACAAATGAACCACATGACTGGTCATGACCTCTGTGTTTTTCATTGTATTTTGCATTAACCACAAGATATTAAATAATCAAACAGCATGTTCACAGTGTATCAGAACCTACAACGTTTACCATGGTAAAGGATACTTAAAATTAAGATACTGGGATACAAAATCATTTTGAAAGGTCGTCCAAGCATTAAAGTGCATTAGGCAAGTATTTTGGCTATTTTCATACATTTTTAAAAACATATACATGCATTTTAAAATATATTTGGTTAATATGGAGATATATTCTGAAATACATTTTAGCGTTTGTCAAAACGGATTGCAATGTATTTGAAATGTGTATTAAATATATGAAAATACATGTCCATTTACATGGGTCACTGCAGTGCTGAGAGTGATCCACCACTTAACTAATGCCTGCTCTCTGGGGGTCCTGACCTTTGAAGAACAGAGCAAAAAGGGGCTAATAAAGTCTGCAGAGAAACAGGTCAACTACACTCTGTAAGTGTAAAACTGCCTATATGGTAAGTGGACCTGATAAAATGATAAAGGCCTCTTTTCCAATGCAGGGCCAAACGTTTCTCATCACAGAGGGTAACTGTTCCACTGGCATTTCCACATGGATATGGTTCAACATGGAAACCTTAAAAACCTGGCTCAGCACGATTTTCTCAACATGGTTAGCTAACCGTGTTCGGGGCCACAGAACCATTTGATGGGATGATGTAGCAACGTAACTATTCACTGATCCTATGATTATGCTGGTATTGTGCTGCAGCATCCTGATAATTAAAATCCGAAAACAATAAGTTCAGTTGACGCCTTTCTAATTGTTAAACGGCACTGATAACCAGAAGAGAGGAGCTGGTTAGTATTAGCGTAGAAGTCTGCCAGCTCTGCTTATCACAGAACATGTTTGATTCTGACGAACAAAAGCTTTACTGAAAAGTTTAGATGATAATGACTCATATTTGAGAAAGTGAAGTCGCACGCTGGGCTTTACAAGGTTATTAGAGCGCTGAAATTAAACCTGTTCTGTAGTGTTCGGATATGTAGCCTCCTAGCAAAGCTAATGCTAGCATGCTCCTCGCCCCTAGACCCAAACAGCCCAGTACAGGTTCAGTTCAACTAAATGATGCTCTGCTATCACAAGTATAGACGATAAAAACTTTTGTTACAGAGCGCTGTTGCGTCCATTGCTGGTTCCCTTCTATGCCAACAGAGGTCTCACTCACCTGAATACTGAATCATACTGACACCTGTCTCAAATCAAAAGCCAATAAGTATTAGACTTCCTAAGTAGTACCCTAAACTAAGCTCAGTGTGAAGTCTTGTTAAGGTTTATCCTAGTGATTCAGAGCAGTTTATTCCCTGTATGTATTTTCTGGTTATGTCCCCTTGCTTAAGGATTGTTACTGATTTCTGGATTGTGTTTTTGGACTGTTTGCCTTATTTTGTGTGAAGCTTCAATGATTTTGACCCTGCCTGTCTCTGTTTATGACTCTTCGAATTCCCCAATAAACCTGCGCTTGATTTCAACTACTCTCTGGGAGGTTTATCGTTACAAGCACAAAGTTGATTTATCGGTGTTGGAGAGACAGAAAGTTGAATTTGAAGTTGTTCTGTAGTAGTTTAGGCTATAGCCTGAAGGTTTAAGTGAACATGAGCACATAGTCCCTCCCACTGCAGTAAATGCTTGGTTCCAGCAAACCGATGCTTAATCACCCATATGGAGTATAAAGACTCATAAAGACCACAAATTTGAATGTCTGGTGTTGAAGTGACAGAAAATGATCAAACATATAATTATTCTGAGGTGCTTTAAACTGTACACTCCTGGGCTATGCTAATGCTAGCATAGTTAGCCGGCTACAGGTGCAACTCACAACAGGTTCATGGTTAGTAAATGATGCTTAAGTAACACCTGTCTCAAGGATAAAGAATCTGAGAGCACTGCGAGAGACCAGTATTGGAGTGACAGACAAATTCAAAAGTGTTTTGTAGTGTGTGTGTGTGTGTGCGTGTGGGGTGTGTGTGTGTGTGTGTGTATGTGTTAGGTTGTTAGCAGTTAACCACCCTTTGGTGTAGTTTTCCTCAGCTTTTCCTTGTTCTGATTTAGCAGCTCAGCCATCACAAGTTTATATACGTACATAAACATACATACAGTATATAAAGCTAGTTTGTCATCAACAATGACAGTTTGTCATCAATAATTATAAGAACTAATAAGGGACGTCTAAAACCACAGCTAAGAATTACATGAAAACTTCCAAGAACAAAACCTAAACACAACAAACAGCAAGTTTTGGAGAAAATGAGGGCGCAGAGCTGCAATGTTCTAAGGAGATCAAGGAAATCCTGTGATTTACAGCTATAGCGTTATTAAATATACCGATGTGTTTCATGTTAATTTGTTCTTAAAAGCAAGTCAACCCCCCATAATCTACTTAAAAGTGCAGAATCAAAAAGCCAATTGAAAGAACCAAGGCATTCACAGACAGCGTTATTAGTGACTAGAATATAGCCCTCTGTGTTTGAAAAGACTGGGCTGATGAGATGGAGCAGAGCAGAAACTAAAATAAGCTCCTGTTGTAACAGTCATCACATGATTATCATGTGGGTAGCAGATCTACATTAACTACTAATTGTAGATGTGTTCTGATATAATCCACAGTGACTGTATGTTTTTACAACCGAATATCTGTAGTCCTTAGTATTTGCACAAACACTGCATGATCTACCAGCAGCTGCAGGCGAAATGCATAGTATACAAGGCTGCATGCTAGTTGACAGATTGGGTTCAATAGAGACATCATTCCTGCAAACTCTGTTCTTCTGACTCCGTCCTTAGCATTGACAAATATTTATAGCAGTTCATTGCTTTTGTGTGTGTGTGTGTGTGTGTGTGGTACCTCGAAGGGATTTCCTGCACTGAAGTCAAGGGAAATGATGAGGTCGATGTGTCGTTCTTGTCTCAGCACTGAGAAATAGGATGAGTTGAGGAACAGTCCAGCGTCTTCATAATCTCTCGTCTCTGAGTCAAGGACACTGGGGTCGACGCCTTCCACTGATGACACTGAGTCAAACAGTAAATATGTTTTCATTATCTCCCACTTTTTCATTTACTTATTCTTTAGTTATATTGATTATTATATTTTTCTATTTCTCTTTTCTTGACCACTGCTCTGTCCATAGTGAAACATCTTAAAGACAGTGAAACCTGTTTCAGGAACCCTCATAAAACCTGAAATAAGCTGAATTTACAGCTTAGTCTTTGACCGGAACACATTTCCCTACCAAAGAAGCAATAAAACTCCTTGCCTGGAATCCAGCCACATGGCAACCCAAAAACTCTTGAACTGAAACCCTTTTCTGAGTAGCAGAAAACCAAATTTCTTAGATGTGTATCAACTCCAAATTGCAACCAGTCATCATGGTTTGTTTCAAGAAGACTGGAGACACCAAAATTGAAGCTATCAGAATTTATAACAGAGTTAGCCCTTTCTGGATTTTACTGAGATTCCAAGCATGAATCAATAGCACCACACAGTGGTGAGAATGAGACACATCACCCAGTCAGAAAGTAATTTGCTTGTGTTAAAAGAAAACCAAAGAAAACACATATTTACATTGTCGGCATGATATGCAATGCTCATATGGCTTGTATGCGATGTTACTAGTATGTTATGCAGTCGATGCTAGATGCTAGGAATACATAGCGTATCACTGATAATTTACCAATGTAGCCATTTGAGTGTAGTGGGTTTAGAACTATATATATAACTAGAAATATATTTTTCTTTTCTTTCCTTTTCTTTTCTTTATTTGATTTTTTTCTTCTTCCATTGAGTAACAACGCTGTTCGAACATATTCATAACCAGCAATTCCCAGAGATTACATGCAATGTTGCTTGTGTCTTTTAACATTTGTTGCTTTTCAGGTAAAATGGGTTAGAACTGTCAATTATGAAACATACTTGAATGTCCTAGGTGTTCTTTTCTCTGGTTTTGAAAGTTTAAAGGAATAACCTAAGCCATTTTTATGTTAGAATTATTTTCCTCTTTTTCTTTTTAAGATCTACCTGAAACAAAGGAGGGCATGAGTCTTGGGGAGGCACTCATAGGTTATGCACCACCCATCAGAGTTGAAAACAATGAATGGCTTATTAACCATTTGGTGCGGAGAACCTATCAGTGCTCTGGTTCCACCTCCAAAGGGGAGGGCTTGAAAAAGTCATAAGTCTTTGCCAACCGAGTTCAGAAAATATAAAGCGGTGATCTTTAGATCTGAAACTTTTGTGTTTGTCTTTGTAACTCATCTGTCAGTTTGTACACTTTAAGTTTAAACTACCCTTAAAGAAGGAAAGTGAAGAGGTCTTTTACCTGACCAGTGAGAGATTTCTTCAACTTTTGTCTCAGCCAAAGAGAGGTAGTTAGTTAAGCTAGTATCACCAGCCTCTGAACCCTGACTATAACCCAAACCTCGCCAGAAGAGACAGAGCAGTTCTATTGCCATGAAGACCTTGGGACCTCACCCAGAGCCACGCATCAATCTGCAGGCAGACTGAGCATTGAAAGACTGCCCAAGCTCCATCCTCAAGCAGCCTCGAGATGCCTCTGTCCAGTCGCTGACTTAGGCCATGTTTGCCTGTATTGCTACTGCAGATCCGCCAGTACCAGTAAAGCAAGACCCACCTTCTTCTGATGCAGCTGGTCCCAAGATGACCCCTCCTGGAGGGCTTGAAGTCAGCTCCCTCAACTCAAACGTAAAGCTGGTTCCCTTTCATATGTGCATTCAGGACTCCGACGCTAACTTATTTCATTAAAAAAACCTTCATAGATATATCTACCCATATAGCTATATACATCCATACTTACTATTTTTTTTCACTATTTTACTTACTAATTTAGCTGTGAATCATGTTACTTGAACTTTTTTTTTCTTTTTTTGTTTCATTTTTTTCTCAATTTTTATTTGTTTAAGATTGTAAGTAATTCAAATGTAGCTTGATATTTAGCCAATAAATTCCCTTTTGATTGAAGCATCCTTGTTGTGAGCGTTTTGTCTCTTGCCTTAGTCTGGAGACTTTAAATAAATCCAGGTTACTCTAACTTCTTGTCTAAGGTTCTAGCAATTACAACAACACTAAATTGCTTGAATGCCCTGGAAGTAACTTCAGCAAGAGAAATGTGCGTTAAGAGCTTCATGAAACAGGTTTCCATGGCTGAGCAGCTACACACCAGCCTAAGATCAAAATGCAAAATATCAAATGTCGAGGGGTGTGGTGTAAAGCACACCACCACTGGACTCCAGAGCAGTGGAAATGTATTCTGTAGAGTGACAAATCATGCTTCTCTATCTGACAGTCTGATGGATGAGTCTGGGCTTGCCGAATGTCAAAAAAATGTTACCTGCCTGACTGCATTGTGCCAACTGTAAAGTTGGGTAGAGGAGGGATAATGATATATGGTTGTTTTTCAGGGGTTGGCCTAGACCCCTTAGTTACAGAGAAGGGAAATATTAATGTTCCAGCATGCCAAGACATTTTGGACAATTGTATACTTCCAACTTTGTGGGAAAAGTATGGGGAAGGCCCTTTTATGTTCCAGCATGACTGAGCCCCAGTGCACAAAGCAAGGTCCATAAAGGCATGGCTGGGTGAGTTTGACGTGGAAGCACTTGAATGGCCCACACAGAGCCCTGACCTCAACACTGTAGAACATCTTGATGAAATAGAAGAGATTGCAAGCCAGGCCCTCTCGTCCAACATCAGTGTCTGACCTCACAAATGCTCTTCTGGATGAATGGACAAAAATTCCCACTGACACACTCCAAAATCTTCTAGAAAGCTTCCCAGATAAGTGGAAGCTGTTATAGCTGCAAAGGGGGATCAACTCCATATTAATGCCTGTGGATTTAGAATGGGATGTCATGAAAGCTCCTGGAGATGTAATGTGTAGGTGTCCCGATCCTTTTGTCCATATAGTGTATCACCCCCCCAAGACCAAAAAGTTTGTGTACCCCAGGATTAGACTCCATATTAAAGGACTTAAATCTGATTAGAGGGCTGGGGGTGAGGGGATACATCAAGACATCCATAATTAAATTCTAAGATGATTCATGAAGAATAAATCAGTTTATTAAACTAATTTAGAAAACTGATAAAGTTAAACACAAAGATCATGCAGTCTAAAAGCCTTTATCCAAATCTTCAAGCAGTTATTTTATATATATATACATATATATATATATATATATATATATATATATATATATATATATGTATGTATGTATATATGTATGTGTGTGTGTGTGTGTGTGTGTTCTACACACATCAATTTCCCACCTTTCATTTTGTAGAGGTAGTTGTAAGTCGTTCCCCAGTTCCAGTACGACATTTTCTTGATAATTGTTAAAATAAGCCGATATTCTGATTAGATTAAACAAAAATACAAGGCAAAATTAGACAAATAAAAACTAAATAAGGCTGGCTTTAGATTCTAGATTTTACATTCTTCCTTTAAACTACAATAATTGGTAAAGCTTCCCACAGCTGAGATATTTATACTGAATTACTGACACTACAGTTACCAGTAGACCACTGAAAATGTGTAAACGGTTACTGTTTTATTCAATTACACTGTATGGTATTTTTATATCATTAATTCAGCCGTAGTGTCAGAGTGTTTTGAAAATGCATGATTACAAGGGTTCTACTTACCGTCCCAATAATTCTGCCATTCTGCCAACAGAGAATTGCACACACACAGGGTGTATTCCTTTAACTCTGGCTTGGAGATCATCCCTTCTGATGTCATCAGCTTCTCTAGATGAAGATTCATTCTTCCTGTTGGATCAAATGTATCTAAAGAGAGAGAGTTATCAGTATACATACACTCCCATGCAAAAAAATGGACCAAGCCCACATTAGTAATGTTTCTTACTAGGGATGCATTGATTCCAGATACCGCCTGACACCCTGTGACATAAGCTAAGTCTACACTGCCATGCTAATTAAGAACCAACTTAAACTGACAGTGAATGTATTGTCCTACTGTGAACATCACCACCTGCTTTTAGCTTCAGCGCACAGTGTAAGCAAAGCTACTCAGTTTCTCAGCATTTCTACTCAGCTGCATAGCTCACTATTTTAAATAAAACAGCTTTATTGATAAATGTCCACAGACAGAGCCTACAGAGACTGTTGTTTACAGAGACTACAACTGTTGTTGAGAGAAACTATGAAACATAACTACTTTACTTACAGCTGCACAGAAATGCTTTTCTGGCTTGGAACAAAATCTGCTGTTCTCCACTGCAGCACTTCTCAATACAAGGTAACTAATATATCATAGCTAGCTAATTCACATCATATGAAATCAGCTGGATTTTAACAATTGTTGAGGTTCATTGCAGTTATTTACGCTGACAACTACTTAATTCTAAGTAGGTTATGATTATGGTATGGCATCAGATTTGATAGCAAGTACTAAAAAACAAATACTACTACTTTAACTCTGTCTAAAAAAAAAAAAATGGTATGCATCACTAGTTTTTATCGATTTTTTTAACTGACATCTGAGTTACTTTCTCTATAGAAAATATTTGTTCTTCCATTAAACACAAACTAGCTTGGCAATGTTTTTCATCTGTTTGAAGCCATCAGTTATAAGTGAGACAATATCTACTCTTACTTCCATAGAAGGCTGTCTTCAAGTTTACCCACAGGACATTCACATGCTAAATTGCTAAATTGCTTGGCCCAATTATATATATACGTGTGTGTGTGTGTGTGTGTGTGTGTGTGTGTGTTTGTGTGTGTGTGTGTGTGTGTGTGTGTGTGAATGAATACAACCTTTCAGTAGGTCATTCATGGTTTTGAGGTGAGTTGTAGGATCCTCCTCTCTCAAGGCACAAAGGTTCAGTTCCACAAGTGTTAAGAGAACCTGGAGACCATCCTGTGCTTTTCTTGTTTGTAATTCATATCTTTCTTCTGTGTTTCCTATTTTTAGTTAATAATAATGAAAGATGTGTAAAGAAAAAAACATTAATTTTAACCCTTTATATTCCATTTTTTGGCACTAGTGTGCGCTGACACAGGAAAAACCTTATTGTGTGATTAAGATGAACAGCAATTTCAACATACACACCATTTCAGTTAGGAGAACAAATTCTTTAACATAATGTAAAACTTATTGTGGTGAGTCCAATATTAACCAGTCTAATAACTATTTAAATTCAGCCAAATACAATTTTTCTTCGCACATTATCACATTTTAAGCCATTTCTGTGCAAGACAGAGAAAAACATAGACTGTGTGATTCACAATTTTGTAACATATGTAAAAAAAAAACAAAAATAAATAAATAAAAAATCACAATGGATGCAAAATCTGTTATTCAAAAGTTATAGTAAATTTAGTTTTGGCTGTAATTTAGCATTATAAATCAGTAATTCCAAAAGTTGTCAAACATTTGCTATCAAAAAACAATACCAAAAACTTTTTTTCCTTTTTTTAATTATTATTGTTATTATAATTTTATTATCTCATATTGTATGATAAGCAAATGGTTGACTATGGTCCAGTAGTTCAGGGCTGCAAAAAAAGGTTTTAATACCAACTTTACACAAAACAACCCAATTTAATACCCATTAACTAAAAGAATTGCCCTCAAAAAAGTAGGAATAAATCAGAAGATTGTTTAACAGTGAGATGTTCATACTTGTAATCAGGTGTTTTAGTGCCTCATAGAGCTCCTCACGGACCTCTTTCATATCTGCAATGGCACTGCCACAAAGGCCTGTACAAATTGAAATAAAAAACATTAAGTAAGATTACAGCACTGAGAAAATTGTAAATGGATTTAAATGTGTTCTAGAACATCCATCACCAGTGATCACACACTTTCTAGCAGGCAGTCACAACACACACTATATAAACCCAGTATAGTTCAGATGTTCTCAGTTCAATCTCTGATGACTCCCCTGCCGAGCTGCAGCCATATGTAAAAGTTTAGGCACCCGTGTTCAAAGGACATTTTATTGATTTTCTGAGTGAAAATAAGTTAACACATCTTCCACAGTGATAGACCTTTCTCTCAGTCACTTTGTTGTCATATCCTGCTGTAAATAGTAGCATTTTTGAACTTCAGCCTCCGCCGTTTAAAAGAGAGGCAATGGAGGGCAATGGACAGATGTATGTGCCATGCATCCCATATTTAAAAGTGCATCTCTGTGTCAGAGCATCTGTGAATGGTAAGTTTTAATTTTGTAGCTCTCTTGTGTGAGGGTGTGCCAAGCATGCTGGTAGGTGGGCAGTAAGGATTGTGTTATGAGATTTCGTCATCTAACAGAGGAAAAGGACTGAAATTTCAATGAGGCGTTTTAAGTAGCTGAAAAAAGTCATTTCTGTAGGAGAGAGTTACTCTCCTGGAACCTATCCCAGCTGTCAATGGGTGAAAGGCCCACATAACATAGTTTTACCATTTATTTTTTCTATTGTGATTGTGGTAACATCAGTAATAATGTTACTGATTAGTCATTAGCGTGTGTTACCTTGTAAGTAGAGCATGTCCATCTCTGGCTGATCTTTAATCTTCTTTCCATTCTCAAACTTACTTCCCCAACAGGAGGAATCCACAAAGGCTCCATCAAGAGAATAACCTGACTCATCTGGAGTGATCTCAAAGCAGACATCTACAAACAGAAAATACTGTGAGTTTTCCTTTATACCACACACACACACACACACACACACACACACACACACACACACACACACACACACAGATGATAATTACCTGCATTCAGTCCATTTTGTGTGCATTGCTTGTCAATCACAGTGTAAACGGAATACGGGTCATTGGTGTGTTTGCCCCTCTGCTCTGTGAGTGTGTGTTCATCGATCTGTGAAATAGAGAAAATATAGACTGCTACGCAGTGGAGTCCAAAACTCTGAGACAGTTTTAGAAAAAAAAAAGTATTTCTTTAAATTTCTTAGTATTTGATTTGTTCCATGTTCCCCTTTAATGACAGTGCGCACTTGAGCTAAACAGACTCCACAAGTTTGATGACTGAGCATGAAGACATTATTTTAGACATAAAAAGGCCATAATCTGGTCAGTGTCACAAATTTGCTTAAATTTGATTAGTGACCTGGAAATAGAGCAGAATTTTAGAATATTTATTTTTCATTTCATTTCTTTGTTTTAATTTTTTAAAAATTCAAAATTTTTGTTTTTATTTCCACGTTTACATGGAAGTCTGTGCTTGGACCCCACTTTTGTGTGTTAGTCTACGTCTTGTTAATATCCGCAACAAACAAATTAGGATCAGGGCAACAATTGTCTAACTACCTACCTAAATGTGTCAGATAAATTTATTTTGTTTAGTTAGTGTCAATTACTGCCTGCCTGCTTCTTTTAGACTTTATTTTAAGATTTCTCCACTGTTTATTATGATTATGAGTATGATGGTGATTTTTAATCTTCACAATAAGAGTATATCTATAAAGAGTACTCAATAACAATAAGCATTATTAAATAGTTAAATAATGTTAATCATAAACTAATGATAGAAATCAGAAGTATATTTTAATATATTTTATTTGGTAGTTTTGGAACCTATCCCAGCTGTCAGTGGGTGAAAGGCCCACATAACATTTTTACCATTTATTTTTTCTGTTGTGATTGTGGTAACGTCAGTAATAAAGTAATAATTTTTGTTTTTATTTCCATGTTTACATGGAAGTCTGTGCTTGGACCCCACTTTTGTGTGTTAGTCTACGTCTTGTTAATATCCACAACAAACAAATTAGGATCAGGGCAACAATTGTCTAACTACCTACCTAAATGTGTCAGATAAATTTACCTTGTTTAGTTAGTGTCAATTACTGTTTACGCAGGATAAATCTTTCTGGACTTATGTCCTTGAAGTAAAACCATAGTCTATGATATATGTGAAAACATGACTGGAGTTAAAAATTATTCTTACCTCTTTCACCATTCTAGACACAATCAGTGCTGCCCACACATCTGTCAGGCTGAAGTTGTCCTGTTCTAAATAGTATTTCATCAGTTTTTGTTCCATCTCTGACCAGCTGACACTGCCGTCAGCAAGCCTTTGGACGATGTCATCTCTCATAGCCAGCAGTTTGGTGGACCAGTCTGGTTCTTTATATAGTGATGCCATGCACCTTCAGAGAACAGATGGACAAGACAGTGTAATTTAACAAAAGAAAAAAAAAAGAAAAAAAAAGTGACATCTTCTCCAAATCTGTGGACTCTTTCAAAATGTTTTTAAGCAATTGGTGTTATCAGTATACCAAATGATCAAAAATGAGCGAATGATATCAGCCTCCACAAGTCTGGTGAGGGGAAAAATGTAAATGATAGAAATGTAAAATAGAAAATAAAATGAATGTACCGTTGTGTTTCAGTTATTATGTCTTTATGGGAATACCATTAGTAATATCTGTTTGAGCACTGGGAAACATCTCTCTTAAAATTGAAATTTGAATATTTCCATGAATTTAATTATGTTCCATGTTTAGGATGAACATGAAAGAAGCTGGATTTAAGTTTTTGTTTCTTTCTAACTTAGTTAACAGATTCAAGTGCCAGTATTCAAATACTAAAATGAAATACATATTCAGAAAACAGAAATTCAGTGTCTGCACTCAGTCCATGTCACATTTTGGGTGAATACTTTAAGTATACTTAAACAATACATTTAAAAACTATATACCATCGTTAAAAGAAACACCATTATTTCTTGTTTATTAATTATTTGAAAAAAAAAAAAAACTCTAAATAAGAACCCAGTAAACAGTTTCTGTACACTAAAGAACACTAAAGTTCATGCTAAAGCCTGGGTAGACTGATAAATTACTGTGTTTATCCGTTATTAATCTCAGTGTTAGTAAGATCTGCTAAAGCCTACACAAAAAAGTAAATTCAAAATGGCCTGTTTTATAGCTTAGTTTCTAGACATTTAGCCTAGACATTTCTGCTCATAAATATAAATGCACCTTGTGTAAATGTATGGATCTAAATAAGTAAATGAAATATCTGATATTTTCTGGATCAGTACCAGGTAGATCCTGAAACTCCACTCAGGTACATGATACAGTTCAGCAGTTCATCTTCTTTCAGCTGACTCAGCGATCCCAGCAGTCCAACCATAGCTCTCAAACCACCACCAGAGCCCAGCACTGCGATGTTAGGCACCTCATCCTGCCATCATTGAAAAACAAAGTAGGACACGTGTATTGTTACATGCACTGAATGCACTAATGCAGTTGTTCATAATGCACCTAGTTTGAATAGTCTTAAGAATTTAAACACATAATTATATTACAAAAGTCATAACACTATAGCACAGTGTAGTGTAGCACAGTACAATAACAAACTCATAGTTATATTAAAGATGATGTACCTCACAGTCTAAACCATGCTGCTCCAGGCATTGTTGGACAGTCTTTCTCCTTCTGGCCACATGCTGCTTCTCAGCTTCACTCAGAGAGTGACCAATTTTCACCTTAGTGCTACACACATTACACAGGAGTTGCTTCAAAAGGTATTACCTTTAATTCATCTTTACTGAGAACTTTATTAGGTATACCTACCTTGTATGTACATTTATTGCCTGTTTTATTAGATCTACTTACTTAGGAGCACTTCTACAATTACAGACTGTAGACCATTTGTTTCTCTGCATACTTTATTATCCCAGCTTTACCCTGTTCATCAATGGTCAGGACCACCACAGAGCAGGTATTATTTGGGTCATGGGTCATTCTCAGCACTGCAGTGACACGGACGTGGTCTTGCGTGTGTTAGTGTGTGTTGTTCTGGTGCGACTGGATCAGACACAGCAGTGCTGCTGGAGTTTTTAAACACCTCAGTGTCACTGCTGGACTGAAAATAGTCCACTGACCAAAAACATCCAGCCAACAGTGTCCCGTGACCACTGATGAAGGACTAGAGTATGATTAAGACAAACTGTGCAGCATTTTAAACACTGTGTGCACTTACTGTCCGCTCTATTAGCTACACCTACTTTGTTGGTCCACTTTGCAGATGTAAAGTCAGAGGAAGTAGCTTGTCTGTGGCTGGGCAGTTTGTGTTAGTCCATGTTAGTGTCACTGCAGTGTGGAGAATGATCCACCACCTCAATAATACCTGCTCTGTGGTGGTCCTATTGGGGTCTTGAACATTGATGAAAGGGGGTAAATGTGGCATAACAAAGTATGCAGAGAAACAGATGGGCTACAGTCTGTAAATGTCGAAGTACAAATTGCTCCTGTATGGTAAGTGGATCTGCTAAAATGGTACATTTCGACAGCTGTAAAAGGATTAACTAGCTGATACAGGCCTTATGGTCATTACGTTAGACAAACAGTGGAAAGAGTTGGTGGTTTATAATTACAGTTTGTCTTAAACTGTACAGTCAAACATAATAATAATAATTAAAAAAATCAGCAGAAATACCTTTCACAACAACTGGGCTTGGCCATCTCTGCAAAAATTGGAGTGAAATTATCTGCAGAGCCAAATGATAGCAGCACTTTAAATAAAGTCACATCCTGTCTATGCAGTGGTGTTAACTGGATTAAATAAAATGTGAATACAAAATAGAATTCAAGTTATTGGCAATAAAACAAAGAAAGCAAAAGTTTTAAGAGGGTTGGAAAATTTGGCAGGAACACATTACACCTATTTTAGCATCATTTCACTGCCTGCCTTCTTTTAGCCTTTATTTTAAGATTTCTCCACTGTTTATTATGATTATGAGTATGATTGTGATTGTGATTTTTACTCTTCAAAATAAGAGTATATCTATAAACAGTACTCAATAAAGATAAGCATTAGTAAATAGTTAAATAATGTTAATCATAAACTAATGACAGAAATAGGAAGTATTTTTTAATATATTTTATTTGGTAGTTTACATTCATTACTAAATGGTTAAGTTAATGGTTAATGTTTTAATTACTCATTAACTAATGATAGCAATGTTGACCAGCATATTATATTAGATATTATTCAGTACTTTTTTAATGTGTTGATTAATGTGACTTACTGATTGGGACAGTAAGAACTAAGCAATAATGAACTATTTATTTAACCCTATAATAATATTAAATAAAGTCTTTATTAATACCTCATAACTAAATTAAAAAAGTCTATTAAAACAAACATTTAAAATTAAACCGTTAAGTATCCTTTAACTAAAGTCTCAAGTGAATATTTAGTAGTTGTTTAAATATTGAAGTACTTGATTAAGATGGCAGAGAGTCAGATAGATGTATAATTTAGTGGGTGTCTAATCTACTCCGGGAGTTTTCCTGCCCTACGTGTTTAGGTGTTTCAATGTTCTAACTAATCAGGGCTCAGTTTCCCAAAAGATCTTAGTGTTCAGATCATCTTCACTGGTAGAGAGAGTGTGCAGTATGATGCTCGCTCTGCCATTTAAGAATCATTCATGTACTAAAATAAGTTAAGACTTCTTGGTAAAGGCTGAGATCTGAGGGCAGACTCCATGGTCTTCATGTAGATGCTTAAAGATGTCTTAAAGTAGATATTTCCAAATTTCTTTGCTTCTGACAAATTAGTTTCAGTATGACATGTTATATATTATTCTTTTTGAATGTATTAGTTAAGCATTATTAATAATTATTTTATGTTCTTTGTGAACTTTATTGAAAAATAGGCTGCATATATCTCTTAAGAGTTAAGTGGTTAGTTCTTACTATAGCAATAGCTGTGTCACATCAATCAACACAATATCACATATAATATCCAAAATAATGTGCTAGTTATCATTACTATTCTTAGTTAATGACTGAGACGTTACTTAAGCATTTAGTAATGATTATAAACCACTTAATAACATCTAAAATAATGAAATAATAAAATCATTCAGTAATGCATATTACTATCTTTCTTACTGTCTGAACTGTTAATAGATGTACTTTTTTGCAAAGTGGTATCATTTTTAACATAGTATAATGTTAAAGTTTTAACCTGTGAGGTGTGCAAAAACCCTGTGTTGATTCACATGTGGAAATCATGTGACTCAATGCAGCTCTGTGCTTTATGCATCAGCCCCATTTTACATACATAAATATTGACAACATTTTATTTAGTAGTTTATCAGCACTTATTGCTATTATATTGGTCTCATATTTCATACAAATTATTTATACAGTTAATTATTGTTTCATCATTTAAAAAAAAATTACTTTCATTAAACAGTCATGTTCTTTATTGTTCTTTTGCCATATTCTGTTTCATTTATAGAGTTTTACAGTTTTATTTAGATGCTGGGAAGCACTTTAACCTGCATTTGTATGCATGAAAGGTGCTACATACATAAAGTTATTAAAATTACTAAGGTGTGCAAGAAACATGATGCACTGCACATCTAAGCTACAATGCTCATCTTGTTTCCATTTAATTTTTCAGTAATTACGGTGAAGTAATAAAGCTAATTATTACTTATATGACATGTTGCTGGCATAAAACAGTAATAATAATAGCAAGTACCTACCTTCACTGGTAGATGCTGAAGTCTATACACAAACTTAAAGCTGTGAGGGCTTTAGTGTGACTGTGAATTTATAGCGAGCGTGTGAGGAAATGTTAAAGTGGGATGAATGTGCCTTTGGCTGCATTATCAACAGGAAGAATAAAGACTTTTTATCAGAGGAAATGAGGCTTATTTACACAAGTTATTTACACAACTTTGAACATAATGAATCACATTCTGTGTTCAGATATAGCCAATAACCAATACCAGAGAAATTTGATATTGCACTTCCATTGTTGTGACTCATTGCTAACTAGATTACACCCTCTTTCCTAAGGAGGACACAGCATACACCACTTAGTGAGTATCCCGTACTCAATGTCCATGAGTGTAATCTTTTTAAGAATATCACACTAAAAACTGATAAAATGGACAACTGTACATGGACAACTATATGGACAGCTGTACTGACCATATAGGTGCTCTTTATAGTTGTACAATTACAGACTGTAGTCCATCTGTTTATTTGCATAATTCGTTATATCACCTCCACTCTGTTCTTCAATGGTCAAGACTTCCACAGGACCACTTCAGGTATCATTTGGGTGGTGGACCATTCTCAGCACTGCAGTGACACTAACATGGTCATGGTGTGTTAGTGTGTGTTGCACTGGTACAAGTGGATCAGACACAGCAGTGCTGCTAGGGTTTTGAACACTTTAGAGTCACTGCTGGCCAAAAATGTCCAGCCAACAGTGTCCTGTGAGCAGCATCCTGTGACCACTGATGAAGGACTAGAGGATGACTAACACAAACTGTGCAGCATTAGGTCTACAAAGTGGACCGACAATGTAGGCATGTCTAATAGAGTGGACAGTGAGTGGACACAGTATTTAAAAACTCCAACAGCACTGCTGTGTCTGATCCTCTTGTACCAGCGCAACACACACTAAGACACACCACCACCACCACGTCAGTGTTACAGCAGTGCTGATCCACTACCCAAATAATACCTGCCCTGTGGTGGTCCTGTGGAGAATATACAGAGAAACAGATGGACTACAGTCTGTAATTGTAGAACTACAAAGTGCATTTGTATGATAAGTGGAGCCGGAAAAATGGACAATGAGTGTAGCTACAGGATACAGTGACAGCTTCAAGATTCTTCCAGTATGAGGAATCTCTCACAGTGTTCAAGTGGGAAATTTGGCCCATTCTTTTCTGTTTGAAAGTATGGTGGCTGACAAGACCCTATACAATGTACAGTTAACCTCAGCCCAAAACCTAATCCTAACCCTAACCTTAACCATAACCCAAAAACTAATCCTAACTCTCAGCCTGGCCCTAAACCTAACCTAAACCTAATCCAGGTAAACTCCAGTTATGGAATGATGTCAGCAGCATGTCTATAACAGTTTGTTGAGGATGTTGAGATGGTCTGTGTTATACCTGTTACATGTTCAGTGACCTCTCAGGTTAACATCTACTGATATAAACTATAAACAAATATTATTTACACATTTAATTAAAAGTCTCATGATAATTTACTGAATGTATTCACTGCTCATCCTCACTGACATGCTGTTGATGTTACTGAGAGTCTGCTTAGTGTTTATTTCATCTAAAAAGGACAGCTCAAAATAAAATATCACTGCAATAATGCCGGACGACTGATTTTAATTACTCTGAAGGTGGGTGCAAAAGTCAAAAGAGACAATGCAAAAGATGCCAGCTTGCATTAGCACACTTATATAGATGAGGCTGAGGAGTCTCCTCACTCTGTGATAAGACACTATAGATTCAGGAAATGTTTGAACCATATTTTGGCACCGTATTATCACAAAGATACATAGAAACATAGAATTTGATGTGTGGGTGAATTAATGGACTTCTGAGGTTAATGGCTTTTACAAAACTGGCTGTGCAGTTACTTCATTAGGTACATGAAGTAAATTATCTGACCAAGCTTAAGCCTAGTAGACCAAAAGAGCTGATGGCCTTTTTAACTTTCATTTTTTCATTGAGAATGGAGAATTTTATGGGATTTTCATTGTTGTTTTGCCATTGTCTATTTTCAAAAAGTGTTTCTGTTATAGCCTGTCTTAGCAGGCTTTAGTCAGTTGATGTGTTTGTTCTGCTCGTTAGCTTCTCACATTTTATTAGCTGAAACCTGCTAAGACAATCAAGATTAAGCAGTCAAAATTACACACTGTGCCTTTACTAAGCACTGCACTTTCTTATTTCTTGTGTTTCATGTTATTTTCATGTTATTTTCTATTTTATATCTTTTATCTTTAGCACTTTAATTTTATTTTTTTGCAAATGCCTTTCTGGGGTACTGTATCTGAGGACGTCATAATCTTTATTATTTAGTATTATTCATTGCTTTTATTTTAATGCAGGGGTTCACAACAGTGACACTAACATGGTCATGGTGTGTTAGTGTGTGTTGCACTGGTACAAGTTGCTCCGGTCCTGGAGGGCCGGTGTCCAACACAGTTTGGTGATTTACCTGCTCCACCACACCTGATTACACTGCCAGGTTAAGTGGATGTGTTTGAGCAGGGAAACCTCCAAACTGTGCTGGACACCTGCCCTACAGGACCATAGTTGTGCACCCCTGTTTTAATGTGTTTGTGTAAAGCATTTTGAAATGCTGCTGTGTATGAGTGCTATACAGTTGCTCTGCCTCGCCTTGCCTTGCTTTACCTTTAATTTCACAGTAAATGAGCTAGCAAGGTGAGGGGCCCTAAAAAATCCTGCTTGGGGGACCCAAAATATTAGAGGCAGCCCTGGTTATGAATTAGACATGTATTCCTGTGTTTAGAGAAGAAAATGCATGAATTCAAAACATTCTTATAACGTAAGCCAATGTGAAGTACTTCTTTTTAAATGATGCACTGAAATCAAAATTCAGGACACATTTAAAAATCAAAACCAAAATAAAAAAGCTGACATGAGATAAAGAACAGCTCACGTAAAATA